TGCCGCATTGATAGCTGACTAATTGTGGCAGTTCAAAAATTAAAACTAATTTTAGGAATTTGGCCTGAAAAAAGTTCAACTGCGATCCAGACAATGTTGGCCTATCTGCCAATTCAACGGGCAAGGGTATAAGCCTACTTGTATGATTAGACTAACCATAGTTTCCTAGTTATTGGCAGTATGTAATGAAGCTCTGTTCCTTTCCCATCATGTCAAATGGGTTTATCTGCTGCTGCTGTGAAAATGGAAGCTGAATAGATGACTTGTTAGTAGTTCAAGCTTTTTAAAAAGCCTGCACTATTTACCCTTAAAAGTTGATCTAAGTCTTTAAGGATTGAATCTCAGGGTACACTACACTGGTATGTTCTGCACCTTACTTTATTATCCAAGGAACATTCATTGACTTGAGTAGTTTTAAGTTTCCTCCCCACCTCTGAATCTGGCAAAGCAGCTGTGATAAAGCTTTAGTTTTGTTGGACAACAAGCATATTCTGACTCTGAGCACTCCTACACATCTGTGGAGAGTGGGAAACTTACAGTAGGCAAACAGTAACTTAATATTAAAAATGACCCTTGGGTTTCAGCCAGGCAGTCAGTCAGCATTTTTTAAACAATTTGCACAACAAGGAGTGTGTGTGTTTCATCAGATAAAAGCAGCTGAACTTGTGTCAGTCTTTGACAGCGTGTTTGTCTCTTTGGCTGAAATGTCTCAAACATTCCACTGTTTCGTTTTGAGCTGTTAGTTTCTGAGCGAGCAGAAGGATAGCGTGTGGCTTTCCACTCATGATAGCCATCATCTCCACAAAATGTCAATATGGAATGTACAAGCACTTGACCCCTTGTTACTGTTGATATACTGAGCACATTTACATTTTGCTACAGTGCCTGGCTGAAATTAACACATTGCAATTGTCAGAATTATTGTCACCAGTGAGAACATTTTTTTTAAACAACATTCACTGGCAAATCCAACTCCTTCGTCTTCAAAGCTTCAAAGCTTCTCAGATGATAATAAATACTCCATCTCTCTGACAGACAGGCATGTGCTCTGTGAAATGTTTTGGCAAAATGGTGGATTAGAGAAACCGTTAAACATTTGTGGTGGTGGGGGGATTTAGTCTTGTAGCCAAGTTAGAATAGTTGAGTGCAAATAGAACAAGAAAAGTCATTCTTGTCTTAAATATTATTTTAAACTTATCATGGGAGCTGTATGCTTTAATTATTAATAATTTTGTATTGTTCTTGTATTTATCATACCTTAAATATTCACTGCTATTTATTTTACCTACTGCACAGCACTTTATTTGACTTAGCAATGCAATTTTCAGTGCTGTTTCAGCCTCTGGCTCAGTGTGGTTGGAGTATCTTTGTTTTTCACTTGAGCTGTGGAATTTTTCTATCTGACGATGTCTTTTGCGTATCTGTTGTGTTTTGATGCCTGCTGTAGATCTTATTTCATTCACGATAGCGAAGTCGGAATTGAAGTTTAAATTTAAGTTTAAATCCTCCATTTCAGAGTACTTCAAAGATCATCGGACATGCAGTCAGTGTTTTTTTCCCCCCTCTGTGGTCAGTGGAAGGGGAAAGGGTGTAGAAGGAGTCTCAAACCAATAAACCTCAGACTTAGTATTGGAAAGAGCCAGTGGGCTGTGGAGGCCAAATGGCACCATTCGTAGGAGCAATTGATGAGAAAATTGGGGCAGCAGGATCTCTCTCTCTTTTCAGAGCTGGAGGGAAAATACACATGGAGCTGAATGCTTGACTGTGCATTTAGAATCTAGGCATCAGGACAGGAACATGGAGATCGATGGTTGGCTCCTCTGTCACACTGAATGATGATACTTCAGATGTGTTGATGAGATACTCCTGTGAGCTTTGAAAAAAAAAAAAATCTGTTAAGCTTTTTCTTCTTTCGTTTACAGTTGCTATATTTTGCCATTGTAAAATGTCCATAGAAAGACACAAGCAAAGTGTTATTCCTTTGTTATAACAGCTTGGCTCTTGGTGATGATGAGTCAGTTGGTCAGTCAGTCATTTTTGCTATTTAGCATCTACTGGATGGATGAGCTGGAAATGTGCTGACATTCATGGTTCACAGAGAGAGTGAATCTCAATGACTTCTGTAATCCCTTGAGTTGTTTTTAGAGAAGTAAATGAGTGAAAAAGACATGAGAAACCACAGCACACAGAGTCTTGAGTAAAAACACTTTGACGACTATCAGACAGAGAGCAATGGAATCTAATTCAAACACACAGTGAAGGACATTTTTCTCCACTACCAATCCAATGAAAATTGCCTTGATATATTGTTACAAACATTCCTCTTCCTCAAGACGTTCTGCTATAACTTTGATGAATCGTTAACTGTTCATTCAGTACCATTCCAAGATATGCCATTCCCAGCTGACACTGCCATATAGCTTTAACCATAACCATAGCATACCACACATTCTGTTGTGTTTCACCCTGATCTGATACTCCCGTTTGTCTCTTTCTATCTGTGTCTATGTGTGAATTGTTCTGTGTGTGTGTGTGTGTGTGTGTGTGCGTGTTTGTTTGTGTGCTTGCGTGCGTGCTTATATGTATATGTGCATAGTGTGAGCGTGGCTTCTTGTTGGCGGTCTCCTGGCTGTCTCTTGCTGACAATAATCAACTCACCTGCTCTTGCCTGCACACCATGCCTTCCATCACTCATTGCATATCAATATATCTACTCAAGTGTTCCATCTTCTCTGTCCAGATTGTAGGTGGATGCAACAATTGTGGTAGACTAAGGCCTAGTCCACTCGGTTTCAAAAAATAATCCCGTTCACACACGCTAAAGTCTTTAAAAAATCTTCCCTGAAAACATAAAACGCACTATAACGGCTGTCATGAGCAAGTCAAAAACGATGTCTTTGACATGCTAAAATGTTCTTGCCATTCCTCTGCAATGACCATTTCATTTGACAAAGTAGTTTATTCTGGTGCCTCGTCAACATAGTGGGAGCGCTAGATTTGTTTCAAATCTCATGGCAGCAAAGGTGACAGTGCTGCACAGTATGACATTACAAGCCCAAACTTAGTTTTCCCAGTCTACACATAAAGACCTTAAATGGAGTTTCTGAAAATCTTCAACCAGGAAGGGGTTTTCAGTGACCTGAAATGCAGTTTGCGTGTTTACAAAAGGACATAACGCTAAAAAAAACCCTGTTTTCAAAAATACCCACCAACATGTGGACTAGGCCTTACTCTAAGAACTTGTAGTGTTCTGGCTTCTTGAACTTTGATTTCCTTCCTTTGTTTTCCTGCTCTTAATCCTTGTTCTCCAGTGCTTCTGGACATTTGGAACAATAGTTTCAAGGGAATATTTAACAGCACAATAACTTTCAGCAATGTCCACAGCTCGGCCCTATCGGGTCACACCTAACCATTCACATCCATTCACACACTGATGGCAGAGGCTGTTTTTTATAGTGTCTATCAGTAGTAACTAATCCCATTCATACAAACTCATATGCCGCCACCAAAGCAGCGGGAGTAACTTGGTATTAAGTGTCTTGCCCAAGGACACATCAGACATGTGGTCAAACAAATGTGTTTGATTTAGGTGAGTGCTGCATGGAGCAGCACTAGCGTGAAAACATTAGGTTGGCCAACTCTGCTAGTATGACATCATCAGCACGCCCTCCTTTGTATCATAAGCGGTGTGGTGGTACCCTTCAAAGAACCAATGTGTTTGGCACATTTGAAGGAGACTTCTATGGAATTGCAATTGTTCACATATGTTAAACAAGGATTAACATTGTAGCATAATATTTGCTAAGTATCACCAAAATAGCATTTTCTCTGTGGTCTTGTGAGCAATTAGCTCAAAGCATTGTTATAACTGTGAGCATGCATGAAACCTATTTAGTTGAAGTAAAGATCATAATAATTGTCCAAACAAGACTAAAATGTGTTTAATTTATTTGTATGCTCAATTTCTGCAGCAGTCTAATGTTTTTGTATTTTTCAACCTCAATTACTTTCTATTCAACAGGCAATGTTGACCTAAAACTTGTCTAAATGTTGTTGTTTTTTTACAAATTTTTGGCAGTCACGTTTTTTAATAAATACTAAAGAGAAACTTTAATTCACAGGTTATTTACAACCAGAGGCATAATTCCTCCATACACCCTGTTTCCAAAACACTGAAGTGCATGAATGTCTCCAGCTGGTCTGCCACGACCTTGTAAAATCAGACATTACCACCTGTCCACAGAATGCAAATTTTGTTCCCCTAATGTTTCCCCTGACAGAGTGTTAATCAAGAAAATGGAATGGTTTTTTTTAATGCTAATGCAGAAACCATGTAGGACCAAGCACATCTGGGTCTTTCATTATGGAGAATAATACTCACAATATAACTTCTTCTCATGTTTCTACATGCATCTTCTAGGCACTGAGGTCATTTATTCAGAGATCTGAAATAGAAAACCTCTGTAATGAGACACTGACAAACAGCAAATCCACCATGTACTGGATCTGATAACTGATAGCTCGGGGGTTATTTTCAGCTCTGAGTTGCGCACTAAACAGCCCCAAAAAAAAACCACATGTAGACTATGAAACTAAATCTGTTCACATCGATCCAAGCTCTATAACACTTCAGTTCCAAACATTACCTTTCGGAGCAGTTTCATGACCGTGTCCGCATTAAACACTATTTGATGAGAAGGCTTGAGAAGAGGCAGCCTCATCGGTTGAACACTTTGTGCTGCCTCAAGATTGTAAAATACTATTTGAGATCATTTCTTGTAGGTGACACACATAACGTGAGTAAGACGTTAAAGTGTGCTTTTAGCTTTCATATAAACAGAGAAGCGACAGAAAGTGCAGCAAAGAGATGAGACGGGAGCTTGACTCAGAAGGCGCACCGCAGCAGCAGAGACGCCCACACTGAAGGAGTGACAGACAGCTATAAAACATAGACTCGGTATTTGGGTGTCCATTAAAACCTGTAAGCCACCATGAAACAACCAGATGGATTCATCCCTGGAAACTGCTCTATTAAGGAGATCAATGCCTTGGACTTAATCAAAGGAAAACGAGATTTTTGATTTTTTTTCTTTTTCATCTGTCGATGGATGGAATTCTTTCCTGAACCGTGTCTGTGGAGAATCTCTGCATACCTGTTTGACAAGGAAAACTATCTTCTGGGTCTTTTTATGGACTGAAAGTTATATCTGAACTATATAAGGCCTATAGGTGAGTCATTTTAAGTTACAGAAACATTAAGTCGACTTATCCTCCTAAGACTGAATGGGTTGCATAATATGAAAAAAATCCATACAGTGATTTAAAATTCTGTAGACTTCTGCAAATTAATCCAATGACATTTCTATCACAATAAAACAGCTCAGGGACACATTTAAAAAGCAACCTATAACAGAAATGTTGAATAAATCAAGGTAACTCATTAGATTTGTTCTTTTAACTCGATACGTAGCCTTACATCACATTTGTATTTGAAACATTGTCAGCAGTTCTTTTGTGATGATGCACTGAAGGGCCAGTTTAGACTTGTAAAGCAGGTATTTGGGTTATAAATAATAAATGTCTATAATTATGAAAACAACTTAACAATATTAAAAAAACATGTAATTCCATTGTTGATCAATGTTGTTTTATTATTTTTCTTGACATCTTGAAACAGCAGCATGTTATTTATTCATTCTAGCATATTATTGATCTATTTCATTCACTGGCTAATTTTGCCCTGTTTGGAACAAAAAGTGGCTTTCTTTATGTACTTTTTAATTGATTCACGTTTAGCCTTTGTTTGTTGAATTAATTGGATTTTTTTTTACATTTTACATTTTTTACCTGTATGAACTTTTCTTTTTCTTCTGATGAAACATTAACTCAATTACTCCACAAAAACGTATATACAAGCTCTACTGTATACAAATAAATCTCTATACAATCTTCTCTTGCAGCCTGCTATAACTATGGACCTCATGACCTCCAGGGTTCAGTAATGTTAGCTTTGAGCCACTTCAACTGCTCAGGCTCCCCGCTCCTCCCTTATATCTCTAATGACAGTGGAGGGAAGGTGGAGGCCAAGGTGGCTGTTGAAGGGCTGTTACACCATGGAAACCTCACCCTGTTGCAACCCACCACCAGTGGTGTTATTGTTGTCATATTGTCCATGACACTGGGTATCATCTCCAACATTGTGGCCCTCTTCATCCTGGTAAATGCGTACTCCCTACAGCGCAGGCGCACCAAAGCCACATTCCTACTTTTTGCCACATCACTGGTGGTCACAGATTTTATCGGCCATCTGATCCCTGGTGCCCTGGTTCTCAGACTTTACCTCTCTGGAGGTGTGCACCCCGAGGACTTCAACTCTTCTGACAGGATGTGTCAGTTCCTGGGTGGCTGCATGGTGTTCTTTGGCCTGTGCCCACTCTTCATGGGCTGTGCAATGGCTGCTGAGCGCTGCCTTGGGGTCACTAAGCCACTGCTGCACTCATCCCTGGTCACCAAAACCCGCACAAAGATCTGTCTGTGTGTCATCTGGCTGGCAGCTCTGTGTGTGGCCCTGCTCCCCTGCTTACAGCTGGGCTCTTATACCTATCAGGACCCAGGGACCTGGTGTTTCATTAAAGTGCTCAGTGACACTGCAGAGTTAGATGTGGCCTTTGTGGCTCTGTTCTCTGGACTAGGCTTGACCTCACTAACCGTGTCATTAGTGTGTAACACCATCAGTGGACTGACGCTGGTGCTCTATCGGCTCAGGAGGCAACCCGGCTCCCACCACTCCGCAAAGTCCCACGACATAGAGATGGTGGTGCAGCTGGTTGGCATTATGGTCACTTCATGTATCTGCTGGAGCCCTCTGCTGGTGAGTATAATAAAGTACAATGAGAGGGAAGCATTCTGTAAATTCATATCAAATAGCTGACCTTTACATGTCACACCTGCACTCAGAGGGTACTTGTTTTCAGGCAAAAATGATGTGTAAAGTATCCTAGCACGGTCAGGGTTTTTTTCATGAAGCCTCGATTTAAAAAAAAAAACTCACTCAGATAGGTGTTGTGACTTATTTTCTGTGGTTAGAACTCTAAAATGGACTACAGCTTCCTCATAGTCTTGTTGCAGCTGTTAGGTCATGACTACCTACACCTGTCAAAATGCATTAAGTTTAGTGAATGTGTTGGGGGGAAGTCAGGCATTTAGAAGGTGAAACAACAACTCCCCAGCTGCCACTCCAGCCTCTATATCATAGAGAGATAGAGATGTGTGCTGACTCAAACCAGTCACCAATTAAGCTTAATCAATGGCGCCTTTCAATAGATCATGGTCTCCGAGGTTAGAGCCCTGAAAATTACAAAATACCCACTTATTGGAAATATGTTTTAAATATATTGAAGTGGTTGTTTTAACTCAGTTGTCAACCTCAACCGTACTGAACTACAGTAAAAAAAAAAAGAAAAAAAAAAAGATCAAATTCATCTTAAGACCTTTATAACTTTTTGGGGTTATGCTTTTGATTAGCCAAAAAGTGACAAAAAGACCAAATGCAAGATGATGAGAACTTAAGGACAACACGGTGTGATGCAAAGCAGAAGGCATGCCCCTATGTTAAATCATGCATTTGTTGAGAGTAACTAGAGATAGCACAAGTTTTATTGTACTTTTTGGACATAGGTCACAACAATAGACATGGCTGCAGTTGGTAACAAAAACATGACACGCACACCAACCACTCTGTTGATCTCAAGCACTTTTTATACCCTGCTACATGTTTTCTTGGGCCAATCAGAGAGGGGCTCTGTAATAAGTGCCACCCTAACTCAGATGTCAATCAAAAGTAAATGGTAAATGGACTTTATATTGCTTTTCTTGTCTTCTAACTGCTACACCGCAGGTCACACCCATTCACACACTGATGGCAGAGGCTGCTATGTAAAGTCTCCACCAGTATTAATTCATCCTTTCAGACGCCGCCGCAGCAACTTGGGTTTAGGTGTCATGCCCAAGGACACATCGACATGTGGCTGCAGGAGCTGGGGATCGATCCCCTGACTTATAGTTGAGAGACAAATGACTCTTCCACTGAGACACCCTTCCTTTGGAATAAACATGACTTAAGAATTATTGAACAGAAAATTATTATTATTTCACAAAAAGCTTAAGTAAGTATCTAAAAATACATACTGTATTGTACTGTGTATGGGCATTCTTTTTTTCCCTTTAAACACAAAAATAAGTTTAGCTAATGTTAAAGTAATACTGACGAAACTGACCCTTAAAGAGCACATTGATTTGATTTCTTAGCAAGAGAAGAATGTGCACCTTGCTCTCAGCCTAAATATGAACATTTATCAAAGAAAATGTATTATTCGGCATGGGAGGCAGTAAGCCCCCATGACACTGTAACAAAGTCTTCTCTTAAGTTCACTGAAGAAACCAATGTGAACCAAAGCTTAGAAAGACACTTCACTCAAATCCAGAGTTGGTGTACATGACTAACACCTTAGGGATTTTTGAGTTTCGATAAGGATCTCAACCAACATCATGAAACACCAAATTCGGGAATTCCTTTTGGAAAAAATATTATCATCTCTTTAATAGTTCCACAGAGTTTCATCATAGACACCAACACATTAAAACTTTTCTTGTTTCCCAACAGTTCAATAAGGCCCTGCTTTGTGTCTTTTTAATTTCCCTCCCATAGATAATAATTGAAGGCAATGACCTCATCAACCTATAAGTGATTGAAACATTAAATCCTCATACTTTACGTGTTTGTAAGATAGAAAATGAATCTTACTTACCACTTTGAATGATCTTTTAATATAAACTCTAGTTAATAAATTCTGCATCGGTCCATTTGACACCACGGTTGTGATAAAAGGTAATCTAAGGTAAATCATACAAAACAAAAAACATAAATTTTATGTAAAGAACAAATTATCCTTAAGTCAGATCCTTTCATTCCCCAATGATCAGGATGTGATACATGAGCCTTAACTTAAACACTCACATTGTCAGCTATTTTTTTTTTGCCAGCTGTCATTTCTGCTTTTTGGAACACAACAGTGTGCTTTTAGCGTATATCTGTTTAATTTCCACATATTTATCTGAACAGGGGACCTTTAAATTAAAAGATGAATACGTTGCAAACACACACCCCTTTTGGATTGACCTGCTCATGGCTAAAGGGAAAATACAGTCTGATTTATTGAGCCAGATAAGGACAAGAGGACCTATTTCTGTTGAACATCCTTTAGATTAGGTGTCTGGTCAGTTCACAAAGCAGGCCAGTGTGCACCAACACAGGCTCAGAGGTGCTGTTTGTCAACAGGCAATGCAGGCAACGTCAAACCACTGCAGTGGATTAGAATGTGCAATTTTTACAATGACAGTAGGAAACCTCCCTAAGGGGGCACCATCTGACAGTATTCAATGTTGTTGTGCTGATAAGCGTTCCAATAATCCTGTGAAAACATAAGTTGGTCCCTTAAAGTTGCCTTTGGTGTCAGATTGTCTTAATGGCGATGAATGTTTGGAGTAGCCCTCCGTGAGTTTTTCTTGGGGCCCCAACAGACTCTGTAATCGCCCCTGCACAGGCTTAGTGTTATTCTTCATAGAATCCCACAGAGAGATGTGTCACTTTTCTGAAGGAATAATTGTAGCACTATAGTATAAGCAGATGTTATGAGAGAAATGGTTGGTCCATTTCCATATATGAATTTAGGATTTGTTACCAAGATATCTCCAGACAAAGCCTCTGGCTCTAATCAACCAAGGTTAATTAAAGGATAAGCAGTCTTGGTTGAACTCATATTTTTGTCATGATGTAACTTAAAACACAATCAAATAGATAAACAGATGGTACGAAAACAGAGCTTCTGCAACACCTGTCTGAGAGAAGCAGCTTCATTATTCCCTTTGCAAGGATTTACGCTTTGAACTTTACTCTGCTGTGAAAAAAAGTAATTGATGGCAGAGTCTGCTGCATGTTTCTTTGAATGGAGATGGATCAAAACATACAATATGTTTTTTTGAAATTGAAATCTTATAAAACATTAGAATGTGAACCCCTCATTTTAAAGCCAATGTAACAATGTAGTAATGGTTATTTTAAGAAAGCAAAAACATAAACAATTACCAACACCAAGTCTTTTTTCTTAAAAACATTTCTAGGATAAGTGTGATCACTTTACTAAAACACTTGATCCATCGCACATTCAATCACCCTTTAGCTACATGCTGTATCTTGACCATGGTGTTTATGCCGATGTAGCCATCACCTTATTTGATTAGTCTGTTCATACCTTAAACATTTGCTATTGATTATTAAAACCATACTTTTATAATCAATAGTTCATAATCAACAGTTTTAATAATAACTGGTACTGATGAATCAAATTAAACATTATTTTCCTTTGAGCAAATTCCATCCAATGGATTTTTAAAAATTATATTTAATGTGATTATTTAAAAACAGTTTATTGTGTGTGTCCCAAAGATTGTCCTTAAAAGAAGCCAATCAAGAACATCCACTTGTTGTGTCCCCTGCCTGCAGATCTTCGGCCTGATGTGTGTGATCCACTCCTACACACAATCCATAGGGGAGGACCTTACAGGCTATAAGACTCTGCTGGTGATGGGCGTGCGGCTGGCCACATGGAACCAGATCCTCGACCCCTGGGTCTACATTCTGCTGCGTCGCACCGTCCTCCGCAAGATCTACCTCATTACTAAGTGCCAGTCCGGCCTTAGAGCTAATATGATAAGCCGATGGGAGCCGTCTTTTCACAGCTCAGAGAAGAATGAAGTCAACCGAGTCTGAGTAGACAGAGAAACAGATAAAGACATTTGTTTATGTACTCCGTCACCAGGTCATTAAGAATACAGAGACCTCAACAAAGAACTTTTTGAAGGAGAGATTCACATGGTGACAAGTGCAAGGAACTAACTTTGTGGCAGTTATGGTGAATAAATGAACAAGTTTTACACATTTCTTGGTCCATTTAAGACTGGTCTAAAAATGGGAGGCTAGCAAATGCTATGTTTTGCACAAAATGTCATCATCTTTTACTGGTAAAGTGAACATTCCTCATTATTATTTTGTTGTTGGACACTTTTTGCCTCAGTTTTATGAACGCAGTACTAGCTAGGCTCCGTCCAGACACAGATACGTTTCTAGAAGTGATATTTAAATGGTAAATGGACTTGAGCTTGCATAGCGCTTTTCTAGTTTCCTGAGTCCTCAAAGCGCTTTTGCACTGCATGTTAACCTTCCCACTCACATCCATTGACACACATTCACACACTGCTGGCAGAGGCTGCTATGTACAGTGTCCATCAGTATTAACTAATCCCATTTATACACATTCATACTCTGCCAATGAAGCAGTGGGAGCAACTTGGGGTTAAGTGTCTTGTATAGCTGCAGGAGCTGGGGCTCGAACTCCACCGACTTGACCACTGAGCTACAGGCGCCCTGAGAATTATTTGGTTGTATTTCTCAACCTAATTTTAACCAGTTTAGAAAATGAGAAAGAATTTCACTCACACTGAGCAAAATGTAGAAGAGTGAAGCTTTATAAGTGTAACCAACAGAGGAATTGAACTATGCATTAGTAACTCCGCTGAATGTATTCCATAAAGAAAAGTAAACTGCGGTGTTTATATGTGTTTTCTTTTACTTGTGTTTACAGTGCTTAAGACAAAATAATATATTTGAAGTCAATACTTGAATTTTATCAAACGTTTAATGGAGCTCTGTAAATAAATCTGAATTGAATGTCAATAAAAAACATTGAGATGTGTCCTTAGTCTGGATTTCTGCATTTATATTTTTTTGTCTTCTCCATGACCTTAAACACAAACAGACATGTATTGAAAGATGGCTATTTGTTCTGTTAATATGCTGCACTCTGTTCAGATGTGCAGTTTGCAAACAGATATTTATGTTACATGTCACAAGTTGTTTTAAGTTATTTATTCCATTCATCAGTTTTGGAATCAAATTACAACAACATGCATCAGTGTATATCTATGAGCTTTCATGAGAATTTACAGCTAGACGTTTGTTTTGGGTTGTGTGTGTAAATATTAAGATCCTTGCATCCATCCTCTTCTGCTTATCTGAGCCAAGTTATAGTGGCAGCACACTAAAAAAGTTGACTACAATATTCCTCTAACAGAGACAAAAAAGTCAGCACTCTAAATGTCCTTCAAGTAACTTTTATCTATCAAAACAACAACGGACATGCTGATGAAGGCCTAGAGCGGTCGTGCACCTATAACTTTATTCAATGTCAAGTGTGCTCCTTTTTGATGTTTTTAAAATATTCCTCTAACCAGCTACGTTTTCAAGCAATTCCAAGACGAGGCCAGTATATATACCCTCCAGATATAGCTCGGGGTCTAGATTGTGGAGGGCAAGTTACTCTACTGAGGATTAATGGTAAAAGTATGTTGAGTCTTAGCAGTAACATGATAATAGACTGATCAGTCTCATCTGTAATGATGTTAAAACAGGGGGGACTGACTATCTTGACAGCATTTTTTTTCAATAAGGCTTAATGTTGCTGTTAATTCTTTGTTCCTAAGGCAAAGTGTTGGCATGGGAAGTCTGATTCTGATGTGAGCAAACCAAAGAATAAGTGCAGTCCATTGTAGAAACATTATTTTTTCTCCCAGCTTCCTTTTTGTCTGTTTCCCTCCCTGTAACGTCTCTGTCTACCCACATTCACATGATCTCCAGCCACAGCCTTTTTTTACTTTTAATTCCAGTGTCTTGCCCAAGAAATAACTCATTGGATGCAACCTGTGATACATATCACTATGTTTTCTTTTTTATCAAGTTCTAAAGTAGCACTGCGCTGGTTTGTAGTTACCACCAAAATATACTACCTTAATCAAAAAGTGTAATAACTAAATGTGATTAAAGAAAAATAATCAATTACAGATCTAGGCACCTTTTGGCTTCATATTGTTGATAAAGTTCTGATGGACTCAGTGTCTGTAGCTGCAATAAGGACAAACAGTTGGAGAGGATCTTTCGTTTTAGGTGAATAACATCTGAGAATAGATATAGACAGGATGGGGGTTTGTGTTCTAGGTTGAAAGAAAAAGACAAGGACAAGGGTGGTGGATTTGGAATAGGAGAGGAGCATCAAAAATGTGTGTTTTGGCCTGCCGTCAAGCCAGAAAGGAGAAAAAGACTTCCTGGGAAATTCTTGAGTCTAAAATGGGCTTTTTGGAAAGAGATGCAGACACATGCATGTAGGATGTAAGCTATTTAGATACATTTTCAAATTAAAAGTGTTAAGACTGTTCTGTTCATATGATTCAATGTGGAGGGAAGGGTAACCAAGTTTAGTCAAATGGGAATTTGGGTCAGGATCTATAACTAAATAATTACCTTTTTTGGCAAGCAGGAAAAACGAGTCAAGGTTGGAGCAGATTTTTCAGGGGGTTTTGAGTTAGACAAGGGCATCCCACAGGGGGGTGCAATAAGCCCAGTGGTGTTTAATATTCAAATGAATGGTATAAATGGAAACGTATGGATGTATCAAATCAGCATTGCAGACAAAAGGGACATATGGATGTAACTGGGAGACTCTTATACAGTAGGTGACAATAGGCACCTTTAAAACCTTTGTTTGCAATTTTTAGAAAATACTCTATTTCCATAATAAAATTTAACAGGCAGACTAAAGTCAAACAAACACATTCACATCAGCCAACAATCAGCCAAGACAGTTACTGGACCTCAGCTCTCCCTGGTCAGACACACAGCACAGGATTTCCTCTTATCCCCACAGCTCCAGGAGATTTTCCATTTTCCTATTTGGTCTTGTGGAAGCAGAACTATCAGCCTTGCTTTAATGTTGCATCTCCTCAAGGCCACCACATCAACTTTAGGCCCAGTCTGCATTTTATCCCTTCGAGTCATGTCAATCGCCAATTTAGCTTCTCCAATTAAAAAGTTTAAAAGTTGGCACTTGAATTGTGTTGCTATGTTATAGCCTACCCATAGACTGTAAATATTGGTTGTGCCCATAGACTGTAAATATTGGTTGTGCCCATAGACTGTAAATATTGGTTGTGCCTCCACTGATAAAAGAAGATGTTGTTCCACTCTGGTCCGCATGGTGGCGATAATTCCTCTTACAGTTGTTTACACACTGTCACTAAACGAAAGAAGAAGAAGAGCCATCGCTGAAAGAGACTAAACGACTACCAAATTACTGCGAAACGATCAACTCTTATAACATTTCTTGTTGACAAAGGTGAGCCTAAGATGCACAAACCAACTAAAAATAGAAAAAATGAAGCTGACAAAATGGTATTGAAATCCGGGCCATTGATAATGTATGTTAGCTCGGTCAGTGCTAGGTGCTAAACATAAAGGTTAGCTGAACAAGTATTGTGTTTGTGTTAGTCTGTGGTGGTAACAACTAGTTACCAGGGGCAACAGTGAATTAAATTGCAATTTACGCTCTAATATATTGGACAGTCCTATGTGACAGTCCTGTGTGTGTAACAGTCCTATGTGTCCTTATGTGTGTAAAGTTTTGGTCCTATACTGCCAGCAATACACCAGGTCTACACTGACCAGACATCTGTTGTTGTTGTTGTTGTTGTTGTTGTTGTTGTTGTTGTTTTCCAGCTTGAATCCGGGAGTCGTGACAGGATGGCGGCCGCTGCAGAGTCAATGTGGGATGAGCACCAGGCGTATGAGGAGCTGCTGTACTGGGACAGTCTGATACAACAGGGACATCGGCTCCTACCGCACGACTTTGACAGGTACAGGACACACACACACACACACACACACACACACACACACACACACACACACACACACACACACACACACACACACACACACACACACATGCAGTTTACCACAAGAGAATGGAGATTTTCTAACTCATTTTACCGGACTCACTCACACTAGGCAATGGGTAACCAAAAAGTTCAAAATAACATGAAATGTCACAGATAAGTGCTTTAAGAAGTATGATAATGTTGGTGCAAGTTGTGCACCTGTGTCCGATCACACTTAAAGTTATTTACTGACATTGTTTCCTCATGTCCTTGCTTGTGTTGTACTTACTCCCTTATGTACGTTGCTTTGAATAAAAGTGTCTGCTAAGTGAATTTTATTTCAAGATTTTCAAAAAATCTGACAGACGATGATTGACAATGGGTTCCAAGATTGCTGTTCAATAAATACTACATTTAATTTGTGTTAATAACGAACCTTATTGACACAGCCTGTACAATTTTTATTTTTGCAGAATCATCGAAGTGTCAGTAGTGATAACTGTTATGTTAATTAGGTTTCCCTTTCCCAGTTCACACCTGTTTTACCTGCTTTAGACTGGTGCCTCAAAGCTTTTCTTTGCTTGATTTTTTTAATTTGCGCCTTCCAGATATGAGGACCTGCGTTACTGGTATGACTGCCTGTGCTACGAGGAAGAGCTGAGACAATACCACGACTACATTGCTGCTATTGAGGAGATTGAAGATACCCAGCATTATCAGGTTATTCTTTTTCTGGCTAAACTGTCCCCTGAAGACTTTTAGATGCATATTCTCTCTTTTTTTCCAATTCAGACATTAAAGTCTCTTATTTTTATCTCATGTCTCCCACATGGTGACTATACGTCCAGTGTTTTTATCACCACTTCTTTTTCCCTTTAAAAAGACAAGGTCATTTAAGTATGCTTACTTGAAACTGTATCTGGTGCATGTGGATCTCTCGTTTTCCAAAGTTTCTTAAAACCATGAGCTACCCAAACATGTTTACTAAAATAATACTTCCCCATTCTATTTTTAGGGGCTGTCTTGTATAAGATCACTATTTATTCTGTGTTCATGGAAATGACTGTCGACCTAAAACTAGTAACCGAGAACTTCCTTAAACCAACACAAATTATAATCTAGTATTTACATAAATTATGAATTTACTAATGTGGTTACAATATAGCATATATAGTATATAGGTATACAATATTTACCTTTCAGCTGCACTATTGCTTTTCTCTGACATGAACCCTACTTTGTTGCTGTAATAATTTAGGAAGCTGCTGCACCAAAGGTGCATATGGGGCCATATGATCGCCATGTGATGGCCAAACACTCTGAAGTGTATCCCTCACCTGAGGAGCTGGAAGCAGTGCAGACAATCATCTCCCATGTAGAGAGTGCACTCAAGACTGTGTCTGACCAGATGGATACTCCAAAAGAAGTCAAAGAAAGTACAGTGACGGCGAGGTAAGCAAGGCATCAAAAATGATCTGTGACTGTCCTAGTGGTTAAGAAGTAACTACATTTGTTTTTAGAACCTCTATTGTTCTAAACTGCATATATAGATATGGTGGATCTTTTACTCTTGTCACAGTGCAACTGGTGATTCACAAGATTGTGTCCTGCGTGGGGTTATGAGGGTCGGTCTTGTGGCTAAAGGACTGCTGCTGAAGGGAGACACTGACTTGGAGCTGGTGCTGCTTTGTTCTGACAAGCCTACAGTCACTCTTCTTGAACAAGTGGCTGAAAAGTTATCTGAACAGTTAGAGGTAGGTCAGAGTTCCTACAGCTGAGTAACTGTATCTCCATAAAACACTTTACAGAATTGATAGTTAAGTCATTTATTTTTTTCACAACAATTAAGGTCCCTCTTTATCCTCCTAAAGTGTTATTTCCTCTCTTCAATAGACAATTTCAGCGGGGACATATACAATAAGCCAGTGTCCAGGAGATGCAACCATTGTTCTGTCAAGCAACAAGGAGTCAGTCCTGACTCTCACTATCCACCTGACATCACCTCTTGTTAGGAAGGAACAGGACGGTACCGTGGAAGAAAAAGAAGGTAGGTTTTTTGGACCAGTCTGCAGCTAGCCATGAGCTTCCACAGGCCTGATCTGTGTTTTCTCAGAATACAGTCGCTGTACTGCTTCACTGATCTGTAACTCCACACTGAAAAATAAAACGTCACAAACGCTGTCCATCTTCATCTCATCATACCTCAGTGAGACTTGTACAGTGACTGTCTCTGACTGATGCCAATGAAAACCCAATGAACATTGGCTTTTCACTCGCACATGTGTCCTGTCGTCGTCTTGTGACAAAGGTGGCGTTTGCCAGCAAGATCATTTCTTCTCTAACGAAGATACATTCTGCACATATTGTTGATAACAGTGCCAGTCATAAAAAAACAACTCTGTTTATTCTTGTTTAATTGTTTTCATGTTTTGAGTGAAGGCTTTTCAAGAATAACAAGTTAAAGCGCGCATTGCATGTACTTGATGCTGAACATGTCAATTTGGCACCAGCTGCAGCAAAACTGATCAGTAATGAGGGCATTTCTGGGGCCTAACGTATGTGAACTAAAATTGCAACAGAAAGGAAGAAAATAAGGAACATTTTAATCTGTTTTTCTTTTTTTCTTTTTATTAATAGATAAACCAGTAGGTCTGATGAGAGAGTAATTGAGCTTTTGTGTTAAGTTGTTTTATTGCGAGTATAAAGTTTTAATGTAACTATTTGAAGCCCTGGGGAAGTTTAAAGAAGCCCCACATACTGATGTATACCAGCCACAGTGCAGTTTCAGTTTGTTACTACACTGTACACTGGGCTGGGCTGCAGAGTTGCATCGATATAATAATTTAGTCTGAGTTCTTTAAGTTAATTATTTTAACCAAATGAGTTTTTCTCATGAGTTGTGTTTGACAAAAGAGCTATTGTTTGAAAACAGTACGAGGTAATCACTGTGCTCAAGCTTCTGCTCTCAAACTATCCATGTGGAGCTAGCCTCTGACACTTGGCTCCAAACTTTGATCATTTAAAAACTGGACCTATTTTGAAATTGGAGGTTATGTATATTAAGATATGTATCAGGCAAAACGCTGCTCTTTCATTGTGTCCAATACATATCCAATTAACATTGAAGAACTATGGACTTGGGAGGGATTGAGTCCAAAATCAGGTAAATAAAAAATAATCTTCCGTGCTGTTAGGATTATTGTTGAATCAACTTGCAATAACTGAAGCTTTAAGAACAATGTACTTCCATGCAAACAACTGATTTTATATAAAAGTGTAAACAGTTTTGATATGCCACTCAAAAGTTTTATTGTCCTAAATAAGGATGTATTTTCTCAATAATTATCTTTCCAGTTAAATTTAAATCTTATAATACTTCTGTTTTTGTCTTCTTCCTCGGTTTCAAACTTCCTTTGCGTCATCTGCTTTAAGCTTTTTCCCGTCACTCGTGAGACCATTTATTCTGCTGCAATGTTGACAGCAAAAACATCAGGAAATCAAAGTGAGTCGAGTTTTATACGCGGTGTAGAAAACAAATGAAAACTTGCACACAGCTGGTATGACTTACTTTGTGCTTAAAGCTTACCAGGCCACTTTGGTACCATGGGCTACATCAGTTTTGCTGCAGTGTGGGGCACACGTGTAAAACACTCTTAATACTTGTGATTTACAACTGATTGCCTCTGAGTTTGTCAAGTTTTGTAGGAACGGTGGACCTTTGACCAACTGGACACACTGTCTCAGGAGGGGGGGAAAGCAGTGAACCAAAGCCAAGCAGCAGAGGGAAGGGGGAATTAAATATAGATTACCCAGTACATACATTAACAACAAGCTGAGCATTGTTGTAAATACTACTGTGACTTTTTGACTTCACCACTGCTTCTAAATATCAAGTAAGAGTTATCTGGGTTCTATGACAGGTGACTGTTATTCTTGTTGGGACTGAATACTCACACAGTGGTTACTTAGGACCCCCTGTCCTTGCTGCTGCTGGTTTTGGGAAAAGCTGCTTCTCCCTGAGCTGCAAGACAGAGCCCAACCCCCTTGGTCAAACCGTACCTTTTCTTCTTACTCCACCTCGTCAATAGAAACGCGAACAGTCAACGATCCGCCGGACGTTCTGGACAGGCAGAAATGCCTAACTGCCTTGGCGGCTCTCCGCCACGCCAAGTGGTTCCAGGTTTGCATTCACGTCCTTTTAAGTACATAAGGTTGAACTTTTCAACTTGTCTTTTCTTATTTTCTTTCCTGACGTATACTTTCTCACTGTGCTTTTAGGTTTTACTGTTGTAGACCCTAAATGTTTTTAGATTTAAAATGTTAACTCTGAAGAGTGGTCTGCGGAGCCATACCAATGACAGACTTGAATAAGTCATTGGTACTGACACCAGCATATCATTTTATTTATTAACCTGTCTTTTCTCAGATTGAATGCTCCAAATATCAACACTACTAACACTAGTACTGTTGTGAAAGGTTTTTTTTTGTTTTTTTTTGTTGAAGAGAACACTAGTCTAAAGTGCTGTTGATCTATTTCATGTGTTCTAGGCCTCAATCTGAACTGGCTTCTGTCTGTGTCTCCAGGCTAAAGTCAACAACCTGACTTCTGCTGTTGTTGTGATCCGGATCATGAGAGACTTGTGTAACCGTGTTCCCACCTGGACGCCACTCTCAGGATGGGTGAGGAAACTGTTTGTTGAAAACTGGTATAACAGCATCTAGAGCAGCCAAATATTTGGCTATTTAAATAATAGTTTCCATGTGTTCTTTCATCCCCACAAAGCCTCTTGAACTGCTGGTAGAGAAGGCTATTGGTACATCTGAGAGACCAATGGGGGCAGGAGAGTCCTTGCGTAGGGTTTTGGAGTGTATTGCATCTGGAATCCTCTTAGAAGGTGAATTACTACTAATTAAGATGTTTATTGAGTAACAAACATGGATGCCTCTACACTTGTATTGTCATGAATTTAACAATTCTACTGTATCGGTGCAAAGACGGCCCTGGTATTAAAGATCCATGTGAGAAGGACACCGTCGATGCAGCTGCATGTCTGACGGTGCAGCAGAAAGAAGACATCACACAAAGCGCACAGGTTAGATCAGGCTGCTGAGTCATATAAGCACTGTCATTTTTTGAACGTTGAAAAAGTATCTAACGTAAATGATTCTCTTTAGTTTGCCTTGAGGCTGTGTGCATTTGGACAGATGCACAAGGTGTTGGGAATGGACTATAAACCTGTAAAGCCACGGAGATCAGCAGCCTTCAGCAGCAAAGATTTCACAGGTACCCTAAGATCTGTTTCCTTTCCCATTTTTGTGCAGGTGACTGTTGTTAATCTGTTCTTAAGCTTTTTGTTGTCGTTTATGGCAGGTCAGATACCACCAGCTGGACAGTTTCCAGAGAAGAGACCTTATTCAGAGGTGGAAAAAGGAGACGATGAGCCTCAACTAAACAGCAAACAGAGGAAGTCTCTCAAGTTCCAGAAGCGCTTTCAAAGAAAATCATGTAAGAAATGAATATCAGAGGCCCAGGTCCAAATCTGTCACAATCAGAAAAATGTAACTAACAATGAAAAGCAGTTAACACAAAGTACATGATCACTGATAAACATGATGTCAGGTTCATTTTATTTTATTTGTGTTTCTCAATCAAGTTGCCATATGACCACCATACAATCATGAGTTTATAATGCATTTCTTGAATGTTTCCAAATGTATATTGATTTATACATTAATACAGTATATAGTATAAATAATGTATAGTTTTGCAGCAACCATGAACAAAAACTAAGTATCTGTTGCAGGAGTTCCTAATCACTGTCCTCAGAACAACCATTTCAAATATGCTCATATCTGCTGAACACACTACTTTGAAAGGCAGCCAGTTTGGCAGGATCAAGTGAGACTCCAGCCCTGGGGTCTAATGTGAAATGTATTCATTTTTGTAGAATCCCTCGGGGTTTAAAAAAAAAAATGGTACTCTGATTCTTTTCCATACCAGATGTTTTAAAATGACACAAGAGAGCAGCTGTGGTGGAGGGACAGAGTGACAGACAGAGAGTGGGTACAGTTTAAAAAAACAGTACAACCCTGCAAAAAGCTGCAGGATTTATTGTTTGCAGCTGAAGCTGCACTTCATCCTCTGTCACAATGTTGGCTCTCATAGAGCCACAAGACAGCAGACTGTTCTCATTTACAGGTCAGAAATATTGAAATATCATTTTATCAACTTGTTTTGAAGTCTAATAAATATTCACAAGTGCAGTTAAATTGTCTGTTGTAGACAGAGCGCAGAGGAGAAGTTACCAGGTCTCTTCCATGGAGTCAGTGGTCCTGTTCACGAAGTCCCAACCTGCAGATGTTTGTCTGGAGGGCTTCTCACCACTGCACATTGATTGAAAGACAATAAAAGTCCAAAACTCCACACAATGATAAGAACATTTAAAAACATGTGGCAGATTCTCTGCATGTACGCCTCATAATTTAACTGGATTGTGTGTTACGATTAAGGAGATAATATTTGCTATTCTATATAATATTGTTTTAAATAGCCGAAGATAACTATCAGTGATTCTTTTAAATCTGTGTCTGTTAAGAAATATATGTTTTTAAAATCAACAATAAACAATTTAAAAATGCACCTAAGATAAATAATTAATCATGATTAATAATCATGTTCTCAATATTGACCAAAATAATCGTAGTTATCATTTTGACCTAAATCCTGCAGCCCCAGATACCATGCTGCTACTGCTCCAGTCACATAATGCTCTAGCAGTGCCAGAACGTTGACCTTAAATCCACCATTGTGCCTTTTACATTCGATTTATCAATACAAACCTTCTGGATTTTGTTTGGATATTACTCATATTTTATTTTCATATTTGGTTGCTAATGTTTTTTTTGCCATTTTCTCTGTATGTTTCTTTTCTCCACAGTCACTGATGACTTTAGTATGAACGCTGTGATGCGTCTGAACCAGTACAGGCCTGGCCTGGAGTACCGACTTACATCTCAGACCGGTCCAGTCCACGAGCCAGTTTTCACAATGGCTGTGGACTTAAATGGGAAGACCTACGAGTCGACAGGGCCTTCTAAACGAGCAGCCAAGCTTAATGTAGCCACCAAGGCAAGGCTCTTTTTATATCTATAAGTGGCCTTTGAGAAGTATATATTAGTATCATAAAAGCATGTTTTATGAACTTTCTTATTCGTGACGTTAGAATCATGTGGCAGTTTTTGCTGTCTCACATTCTTGTCTGTTAATGTTCTCTGAAATGTGTCATTCACAGGTCCTGCAGGATCTCGGTCTTCCTACAGGCTCAGAATCTAAACCGGAGCTCAGCACCAACTTTGAAGCAACCCAGGAATCTGTTAAAGACTCTTCCGCGGCCTCTACTACATCAGAAGACGTATGTATCTCAGCTCTACTCTCTGGAATTATTTATTTAAAGAGGACATATTCTACCCCTTTTCTACCTTTTCAAACAGTCCCCTGTGGTCTAAATGAAACATCTGTGCTATGCTTTGGTCAAAATATAACATGAATCAAGCACCAGAGGAGGTTTGTGAGCCTGTATAAACCAGCTCTCTCAGAACGCTCCGTTTGGTGTGTGTCTCTTTAAATGTAATGAGCCCCCCTGAGTTTTCCCCGTAGACATCACTCATCTGTAGCGAGAATAAAAATGGCGGACCTGCGCAAAAGTTTTTTTCTAGGCTGGGGGTGGAGTCCATGGGTGGAGTTACCAGGGGAAGGAATTTATTTTCCAGAATCCCACTTATGATGTCACAAGTTGAGCAAACAAACAAAACAAATGTTTCTCTGTGTGGTAAGACTTACGCAGACCACAAACAAAGGACTGCATGGATTTATGTCCATGTTAAAAACACTGTAAGAGTGGATTTTTCATATGTCCCCTTTAAATCTTGTTTGAAACTCTCCTAAGCAGTCCTAAGATTTGCTTTCTTCAGTTAGAAAATAAGTATATAATGTTCTTGAACAAAGGATTGATAGACATTAGCCTTAAACACCCAATGTGTTTGTGCTTGTGCTGTGAACAGAGTGGCCAAGGTCCTATATTGACCAAAAATGGCAAAAACCCTGTGATGGAGCTGAATGAGAAGCGCCGTAGCCTGAAGTACGAGCTGTCTGCTGAGACGGGAGGATCTCATGAGAAGTGTTTTGTCATGGAGGTTAGTCAGCAGTATTGTATGCAAATCACAAGAAATAGACTTAAAGCGTAATTTGATATAAAGTTTTTCCACTTTGCCTTTAAAAAGGAATGAACTCAATAAATAAACAGCAATGCATGCCAGCTTACACAATGGTGAAAAAACATTTGTTACCTTTTTTTTCTACCTGTCAGGTGGAGGTTGATGGACAGAAGTTCAAAGGGAGAGGCTCTAATAAGAAGGAGGCAAAGGCCTTTGCCGCCCTCGCTGCTTTGGAGAAGCTTTTCCCAGAAGACAACAGAGGGTTAACCCCCATCAGAAATCCCCCAAAGAAGAAGGTCACCTACACTGACATGGTATCTCATTTAGTATAAGAACTGTTTTTTTTTTAGTAAATACTGATAACCTTAAAGGAAGAATATGCAACTTTTTGATCCAGCAGATGTCGCCCTTGAGCACCAGCATGAAACCAAAACAACTCATGCTGCATTGTTGTGTTAGCATGCTAATGCTAGAGATCTTTATTTTACTCGTATCTTCACACTGCATGTAAATTTACACGAAATGAGCGTAATCTAAAAACACTTACGTGACATTCAAATAGGCAGTGAGTACAGTATGTTATTCTTCTTTTCTCTAGTCCCTCAATTAAACAACTTTTCTATCATTTCAATCAAAATGCGAGGGGATGTGCCGGCCGGCCGTCCCGGCGATCACAGACAGTGGGACTCGGGTGTCACACTCATTGTAGACAGTCATGACTCACAGAGTTATTTTCAGAGGATATACTTGATTTCTGCTACATTTACCTGAAAGTGTGAAAAATCGCATATTCTTCCTTATAAACCTAAATAAATTATTTAGGTTAAAACGTCATATGTTTTTGCAGTTTATGCTGAAAATCACTCTTTATATGTTGTGAATTGGGTCTATAGTTGCAGACTCCAAGTCCAGTTGGTTTGACTAGTGTGAGTGTTCCATACCGTGCACAAGCACGCTCATCTTTCTTGGCCATGGCGCGATATAGTTGCTTATGCACGAGCACGGGAACGTAACGTGAACATGGCATGAAGTTGATTTCCATTGTTAGACTGTGAGTGTTTTCTCTCACGTTACTCAGTGCATGAGTTGACGTCATGAGTCAATCACGCCACCTTAAATGTCAAAATGATAACTGACCATTGTGTTTGTTTTTAAGAGTCTCTCTTGCTTGACACTTTCATGACTCCACTAAAGGCTAAGTCAATGTGTTTAACCATTCAGCAAACCACTTTTAATGAAAAATGTATTGTATAAAACCTAAGATCATAAGTGTCTACTTGTTTGCCATATGCAAGCCTACAAAATATGTTATTTCACCCAATAGCCTTTGCTGTTATTCTTAAATATTCTCCAATTTCAATTTTCTTTTCAACAGCATATTCCAGGGTTCGGCACTATTCGTGGTATTCCTTCAGACTCTGGGTCTCGTGGCTGGGGTCCCAACAGAGGTAGAGGCAGGGGTCGAGGCAAACTGTTTCCTCCAGGACCCAGCTATAACAAGAGTAAGGAATTTCACAAGCTCACAAGGTGTTAGGTGAACTTGCGTAGACAAAACAGGGTCCTTCAAAAGCACTTCATACACCTGTGGAGAATATGAATATTAAATATTCATGTCTTTCCCTTTTTCAATACAAGCAAACTACAGTTATGAGAGCAGCACTGGCACAGGCTATCGTAAGTTTACTCTTAGATTGTTTGTGGTTTTGTGTGCTTGTATATTTATTATTGGAGTGTATGTGTAGAAATTAGCTTTTCTTGATGGCCTTTGTTCATTTTAGTTTGTACCTAGGTTGTCTTTTTATCTGATTTTTTTACTCATAGAGTTTCCCTAGATTATATTCATATAATATTACAGTAGTGATAATCCTCTTGTCTCATCTGTCATTTAGATAAACTGTATGGTAATAATGGAGCCGGCACAGCAGCCAAAGGGGGTGGCTCCACTGGATCAGGCTATGGTACCTTTTACCCTGAGAACAACATGTACTCCTCCCCACCTGACTCCGGCTCAGACCCAAACGTCACAAAGGGAGAAAGCTACCAATCGATGCCTCCTCCTGCTGATCAGGAGAGCCCTTATAGCTACGGATATGGAGATGAGAAGAAGAAAATGCTGACCCAAGGTCAGAATGAGGGCCAGGGAGCAGACTACTCTATGTACAGCACAGCTTACCCTAGCTCTGTGACAGGTGGACAGGTGTATAATAACTACGGTGAGTAAAAATAAAGCCAGTTTTAATCAGACAAAATGGGCAAAATGCAAAAGATAAACCAAATAAAGCTGTCTGTTTTCTCCCATTCCACAGGCTGGGGAAACCAGTCATCCTGGGGGAATCAGCAGGAGCAAGGCATGTACCAGGGCTCTGGAGGACAAAACCAGGGATCATATTCAGGATACAGCAACATGAATTATTAATCATCACACTGACTATCCTTTCTCGCCCAATTCAGCCATCTTTTTGACTCTGACTGTCCACTCTTGATTGTGATCCTGGAGTACCACTACTAAAATGAAAAAGTGAATTGTGTTGTCTGAAACTGGAATGTGCTGGTTTTTTTTATTTGTTTGCTCCTCTCTTATTAATTTAAACAGAAGAAGGTGAGAAGTTCAGGCTCATCTTTTGGTTTAAACTACCTACTTGTTTTTTGTCTGCAGTATCCACCAAACTGTCCATGTAAACATGGGTGTTCAAAAAAGAAATGATATATCAATATGTCTTGTTCCTGCAGTTTTCTCTTTGTAATCTAGTGTACTGGTTCTGTTTTATTATGGTGTGACTTTGTTTTAAAGCTGCTTTTAGATTTGAGCCTGAGATTTATTTCTGTCACTAAAGGTCTCATCCTTGTAAAATAAAGACCATTACTTCTGTTTCAGGCCAATTTGTTTGCTAAATCAAAGACCAGAACTAAGTTGCTTGCTAGAAGAAGATGTTCTTTATTATTCATCCCTGAGGATGTATAACAGCCCATGTCTTTGCTGTTATACACAAGCATGTATGCAGAGACAGGATCCTATAAATGGAGAAATGGAGAACTACAGAGTGAGGGGCTGCACATAAAAAAAAGCTCTTGAGCAGTTTGTAACAACGCTGTCTTGCTCAATGGCACATCAGCCTTATTCCATATTTTTGTTCATACTGGGACTAGAACCAGTAACCATTTGTTTCCCAACCCAAGTCCCTACAGACTGGGCAACTTCAGCTTAGAGTTGTAACAAGTGCTTAACTTTTTAGATACTGTCATTAGAGAAGCACTGATACTGATTGTGACTATTCATGTCATCAACTACCATTTGTTGGATTATTGAATTTGTCCTCAAAGCTGGGAATGAAACAAGTCAATTTGAGTTTCCTTTAAGATATTCCTCTCAGCTGTGTCAGGTGGAAGTGCTGTGAGAGGCTCCTGCAGTGCCTGTAGACACTATCAGCGTGTTTAGCATGCATGGTCTCCATGTACAGCTTTGTGGCTAGCAGACTTCAGATAGTCCTCATGACCCATGTGAGAAAACTAGGTCACTCTAGCTTCAAGTCTCGGCGCACAAGCAAATAAATTAAAAACTTAAAAGGAATACGCAGCAGTAAAAATTGGCACCCTGCTTTGTAATTCTAAATATTTAATATGAATTTAAAATATCAAGTGAATGTATCTTGGAAACTGCGATGAATAGACCTACGGTATGTGAAAAACTGGATGTATTTAATTGATCAAGTGTTGCACTAAATTGTATTTTAAAATAGAAAGTAAAGTCTAAACCAAAGCAAATGGAGGCTAACATGTCCTAACTTATTGTCAGTATTTGATGAGTTCATAGAAAGGATAATACATTTACCATGATGCAACTTTCTGAGATATTTATTACGCTTTCTTACTTACAACCAAGAAGGTCTTTCAAACTTGTTTGTAAAAGGCTCTCTGGATTCTTTGTAACATAACTAAGAATGGCATCATTAGGTCTAAACTTTAAAAAACAAGTGCCCCCAAGATAATTTGTGTAATCAAATGAAGAAGTGGGCAGTTTATTCACAGATTGTGAGAAAAGGGAGCAAACCTTTATTCAAAATGCTATGAATAATCATTTTAAAAAAGGCATTGTGAGGGATACAACAATATGACCATGCCTTTAGAACTTGTTGTGGTTTATGTGACACTCTTGATGAATGAACTCAAAAGGCCGCATTTCTTCTTCCCAAATTATCCCAAAAGTAGAACTAGGAAGATAATAAACATAAAGATGGAAAACTGTGATTAACACTGAAGTGGAAAAAAGTCCAGTCTGGACACCAGCTATAATAACCATTCAGATCACATGTGACCCAGATGACCCTTTAGTCTCAAGACTGAGTCAGGGCGTGAGCAATGTTCATGCCCCTGCAGCATGTCCCGGGGCTGGTTCTCCTGCCTCCGTCTTCTCTGGGAGTGCTGATAAAAAGGCGCAGAGGAAGAGCAGTAAGGACCGAGTGTGTCCCGTCAGGTCATCCTGAGCACACCTCACCATTTATCTGCTGTGAGTGTTTTATGTCATTGAGCTCTGACATCTTTATCTCTGCAAACTACTCTTATCTCTGAACCTATACTCTTGACAACTTGTTTATTTGTGAGGAAGACTTGTGTCTTTTATGGGAGAAGTTTGAGGCTTTTCATACATTAATTTAATATTTGCCTGTTCTGAGGCTGATTGCAGTCATCTGATCTGTGTGTTTCATTAATAACACATTTTCTCATTCAAAAGAAGCAGAGACTTCGATATTTTTTATAATAGACATGAAACTGCACCCTTAACCCTTCTCAGCCTTATCTATAGGCTTGCTCTGATTAGCCTCTATTCACTCCAGCTGGGAGAGCTTTAGGTTGTAGCCAATCACAAGTCAGCTTTACGTATAAAAACAAGTGATCATGTTGTTGTTTGGTAAAGTATGAGAAGAGAGAGGAAGAGAAAGAGGAAGCAGAGGCTCACATGGTAGGCTGCGGCAGCAAGTTGTTTTATGTTCCTCTTCTGGTTTCGTTGCGTCTGCGTGTGCTGACGGTTACGGTTAAATGTCTCCTTCTCCATTCTGGTGGTGTTTTATATCTGCTGCTGACAGTTGAGATGATTATTTTGTTCCTGTGTTGATAGATGGCACTTTTTCTGGTATCCATCTTACTTGCTGCCGTTCCTGTGGCTTACTGCTACCCTACTGTCTTCCAACACCTGAAGGATAATGGCAGTGAGTATTAGGGGCATTTGTAAACTTTTTCTATTTAAGTTTTGGCTCTTTTAACCTCCTAATCATGTTTTGTTTCCTTTTTTTTTACAGCAAACAGAACCTCCATCAAGTTCCTGGCTGTAGGAGACTGGGGTGGAGTACCTTATTGCCCCTATGTCACCGCTGTGCAGAAGGCGACTTCTCGAGAAATGAGCAAGGTGGCAGAGCAGATGGGAGCTGACTTCGTTCTGGCCCTTGGTGATAACTTTTACTTCAGAGGGGTTGACAATGTGGATTCCCATCGGTTTAAGGTCAGTTCAGTACACTGGACGCGTTCAGAATTGACAGTGTTTATGCAACACCACTGAGCTAAGAACTTTTGTTTCCCCCTCTGACTCTTACTAGGACACGTTTGAGTCTGTGTACACTTCAGAGTCTCTGAACATCCCTTGGTATGTTCTTGCTGGTAACCATGACCATGCAGGAAATGTCAAAGCCCAGATTGAGTACAGCAAAATATCTGACCGCTGGTAAAGGGTAACTCTTGTTTCCTGAAATGCTAATTGTCATTAGAATTAAATAGAAATTATAACTTTCACATCTTATCTTTTTTAGGAATTTCCCATCATACTATTATGAGCTAAACTTCCACATCCCCAACACGGGGAAAACTTTAACAATCATCATGCTCGACACCGTAATGCTGTGTGGAAATTCTAATGACTTCTTGGATCAGAAGCCAAAGGGCCCCCGTAACGTTAGTGATGCGAACCGTCAACTGGTGTGGCTGCAGGAGAGGCTGGCTCTGAACAAAGCAGACTTTCTGCTGGTGGCAGGTCACTATCCTGTGTGGTCAGTGTCTGAACATGGCCCCACAAAGTGTCTCCTGCAAAAGCTTCATCCTCTGCTCAACAAATACAAAGCCACTGCATACCTCTGTGGTCATGACCATAATCTGCAGGTGGGTTCATACAACAGTGAGCAGATTTCTTGTAATACATCTGCAATAATCCTAACCCCTTTTTTTTGTCTTGGTCTGTTACAGTACATTGAAGAGTCAGGTGTGGGCTATGTAGTGAGCGGTGCTGGAAACTTCCTGGATCCCGATGCCAGTCACTGGAACCATGTTCCAAAAGGGTCTGTGAAGTTCTTCACTGGCCAAGCGTCAACACTTGGAGGCTTTGTTCACGCAGAAGTTACAAAGAACCACATGATCCTGACCTTCTACCAGGCTAAAGGCACTTCACTCTATCGCACTGTCCTCCCCCAAAGGAACTTCGAGTAGAAAAAGTTTTACGTGTAAGCTTAATGTATGGAAAAAAAATAAATGGTTTGTAAAGAACGTGGGTTGTCATCTTGTGACTTGTGGTAAGCCTGAGATGTGTGTTTTGTTAAATGCATTGAGTCATCTGCAACCTGAAACCAAATGAGCAAAGACTTCACGCTGAAAGGAGGGCAATAACGCCAGGCTTGTGATTTCAGGTCAAACTATAGCAGCGTATTGAACAATGCATTTTTAATTATATAAGGCAATTGCAGCATTGGTTGCAAGTCATGAATACCACAAAAAAAAGCTCACTAGTACTCTAGTTGAATGAAAAAATCATAAGGTCCATGTAAAAAAAAAAAAAGAAGGCTGGAAATGCTTTTTTTATTTTTACTCAAAGGCAATTGGCCCCAAAAGAGAAACTAGATGGGGACCTAGGGCCAATAAACTATATATTGTTTCTTGTAGTTATGCATCAGAGGCCAAACAGGGGCTGCATTGTTCATTTGTTGCTCACTATTAGTTATTCAATGAATTTGTACTTGTGCAAATCTCGGCTGTAAGAAATTTAACAAAACTGTGAAGACAGAGGGATCTGGTTGAAGTAATTCAACAAATGGTTTTGTGAGGAAAGTAATAAGAATTGTTGAATTAAAAAATGTCCAAACTACAATATCATCAAAAAAAAAAGGCTTACATTTTGTCTGACTAGTTGTCATTTGTGTGCAAGGATTAGGAGTGTAGTGGTTTGCATCAGTTAAATTAAATAGAATAAATTTAAAAAATGTGTATTTTGTCACCTTGACCTCAAGTAAATGTTATCATTGCTCCGAAATCTATGTGCAGGGTTTATACACTGACATTGTTGGCTGCTGTAGGAGGAGGATCAAGACATCCATAGTCACTGCTCTTCGCCCATCACAGAGAACCACCTGGCCAGCCAACAGAGGATTAGGCTGAACGACAGCAGATTGGCAGTGACTGCAAACAGGATAAACTCAGCCAACCAATGATAATTAACCTGGGCGGGGGAACAGAGACCCAGAACAGACTGGTTTCTAATTTTACTCCATCCTCATGCTGACAGGCTGAAATATTTAGCCATAGTGTTTTTAATGTAAGCAGGTTTTTTGGTCTCAACTTTTCATTCTGTATCCAGAAAAAGAAAGATGCACAAGTTTTGCAAAAGGCCACTGAACATTGGTTAATAATTTTTGCAATACAGGCCAGGACAATCTAGACGTTATTTGGGGTATCTTATAATACACGTGGGGAATGTTAATCCTTTTTCTTGTACTATACGTTTAACCATTGTCTGATACAATAGTGTGAGTTATTCTTAGTGTGTGTTTTCCTGATCCAATTCAGCTGAATTACAGTCTATTGGTGTCATGCTTTGTCAGACTGAGAGTTGGACCAACAGAACTGAAGCTGTGCCAGTAAAAAATCGGTCGAGGATAAGCTGACACCTGAAGGTAAAGGGCAGGTAAGGATCACTTAACCCGACTGACGTAACTCACTGCGGACCAAATAAAGCCTCTCACAGTTGCACATCAGGACACAGACTGATGACTAGACACTTTGTACATTTAGAACACATGCATGTCTGTGATGATTACTCACCTGCAGAGGTCCTCAGTGTTTTTGCATGGGCTTCCCACCCTCTTATGAGCAGGTATTCATTCACAAGAATTCTAAAACTACTTTATCTGAACCCAGATTTTAGAAACACTGGCCAAAATGACTAACACAAGCACACAGACAAAATGTATTAGCAAGGAGAGTAACAAGGTCACAAGTTGAAACTAACCCTGACAAATGTGTCTCTGAGCAGTTTTACAGGGGTAAGACCCAGTTAATATGTTGCATCCTGTCTGAAGTTTTCAAGCCTGACATTTTGATTCAGACAATGGCAGCTCAGTAATCCTGCACTCAATAAGTCCACTTTCAAATCCAGATATTCATTTTTAATGCTTGAAATGTCTCCCCCAAAAGATGTGCAGAAGAGAAAGGCTATTTAGACTTCTTGATTATGTTAGCAAGTATAGCATATGCAGCTAAATCATGGGCTTTGTTTGACCATATTCACCATCACAGACACATAATAGGATCTATCATAGCTCCCTTAAAAGGAAGTTAAAATTCAGCAAACCTTTATATTGCTTGTAAGAGGGTTTTTTTTTCTCCATTCAACTGGAGGGAAATAAGAGAGCAGGAGAGAAAGAGGAACAGATGGCCAGCAAAAAGGTCTTGACTGGTCACTAACCCAGACTATTTAAATGATCAGAGAAGTCATTTAAAATGTCACCTGGCTAACTGAGTAATCCTACTCAACTATATTTCTCTCTCTGGTAGCTTTGCTGTACAGTAGTTCATCTTCCTCCAGAGTGAATTAATTTCAAGCTTGCTAAGCCATGCTCTCAAAATAGCCTGGTGTTCCCAACACTGTCCGTTGGCCGTATTCATGATCCACTAGAAGGTCTGAGAGCTTACCTCTTCAGCTGACTTGCTTTGAGTCTTTATTGGCTCCACCTTAAATCCTAACCCCTGAATTGAAGAGCACATGTGCCACCACGGCTACTCCCACGTCAAAGGGGAGTAAGGGGCACAAAAACCTATTGCCTAGGGTAATAGGGATTAGTACCTTCTAGCTTCTCTCCAGTCAGAACTGAAAAGGCTTTTTTCATAACGTCAGTTTATATTTGCCATTTAACGATTTTCTTAAATAAATCTAATCTGATTTTTTTTCTAAGGAGAGATAGAATCTTACATCTTACAAGTGTGAGCCTTTTTAATATGTGTTAATGGTTTAAAAACCTCTGGAAAACATGATTAAATGTTTGAATTGAAATGAAGTCTCCTGTGAAGACCTTTCAGTTTTTGTTGAGTTTGGGGACACCTTTGGACAAAAGTAACATCTCATCTGTTTTGTCTGTTTTGTCCTGTGCATGCATATGTAGAGTTGTCTCCCAAACAAATCTCAGTCTGCCTTTTTTTTTACCGCCAAATGTATCACTCATGGTGAATCTTTGCTGATGAAAATGTAAAATACTTTTTTAACTGCTTGTTGTATCTCAAACACCTAAATATATATTAAATATTACTGTATAGAAAATGTAAATGATCTATCTTGTCACAGATGTAAGGGTTTAAGGGTTGATTACAATGGACTGGCAGTTGCCTAGCATCCTGAATAAACATCTTATGTCATTATAAGGCATATTTAGGACATATACTATATTCCCTCATTCTGCTTTGTCCCTGGAGGTATGTGACATTGCATTTTTCCAACTACGTCTGATCAGGAAGAAGACCATGGGCGAGAGAAATACTGAGATTTCTCAAGTGAAATAAGGTAGACTTGTTACTTTGGCAGAGAATGGTTCATTCCTGAACACAAAGATGTCTCTTTAAGATGTCTCTTTTGGCCTGAGGAGAAAATAGGTTTGCATGTGTATAATGTACCAGAGATTAAAAGATGCCACTGAAGGGGCTGGATCAAAAGTATTGAAATTATTTTATACAATTATGGAAACAATTTACCATTTAGCGATATTATTATTAATCTCATGGAAGGCAAAGCTAGTCAAGCAGTTGTTGCATTTGTTTTTCTTTGTTGCAAACTTCATCATCTGTTAATTGGATATGCTAAGTTGGATGTCACTCTCTAATCACATAGCTGTTTTTCCTTTTTGTTGGCCAATCACACCATGTAAAACAGTAAATTTAAAATGATGACTTCTTCCCAGGCTGCCAATGCTGTTAGGCCGAAAACAAGTTTCCTTGCACAACTGATGCTGCTCTGCACTTACATCAGACACACTGTTGCATTGATTGAACTCTCCCACCTCCAAACATCACAGATACTGATGCTTCTTCTGTACTTTTCTCTCAACACTCTTCAAACTCGATGGCTTTCTTTGCACACCTTGCCGTGTATCGAAACAATCCTGTTACACAAACAGAATAACAATGAAAGTTTCTGAAGTCTGTCCACTCAGATTGAGCGGCTGCTCTCTGATTATCTAATTCCTCGGCTGAAAAGTAATAAAAGGATGGTGTATTAAAGGCTAAGCTGCCCATCTAATCTTCTCTCCCTAATCTCCTCTCCTTGCTAACAGACACTCTGGGTTTTACGGATGGGATGAGCAATGTTAACTGGATGAGTTGCCCAAAATAATTCAATATTAAAAATACAATGTTAATACCTTGACGCTTGTCTAGAGACATGTGTGTCTAAATGTGTGTGTGCATGTGAGAGAGGGAGGGGTGTTCATGGGCATTCGTGTGCTTTTAATATCCCAGGATTTCTGCATCTCAGCCAATCCTGCTTAAAATGGATCTGTCTTTTTGAGTTGTGTAACAATGTGTGTTTCATCTGATTCCAACAAGCAAAATAGAGAGCCACATGCCTCCTGTAGTGACATCATAAAAGCACTATTAATTCAAAACTTTAAACAAATAATACTTGAGAAATTCACATACCAATATCAAGGAGCACCTTTGTCAAACGTGTGCTACTTTGATTGATTCACCACAGATGCCCAGATAAAAATATTTTTTACTTGGATTTATTGTCATTATAATAATTAATTTTCAAATATAAAGAAGTGGAGATGTCCTGTCTGTGTCTTTCATTGTATATTGAATAAGGTCAGGCAGTCACGTGAATGCCCTCACCTCCACTAATTGAATTAACTTCACCCTATTAGTTGTTACGTTAGGCCAATCCTCCTAAGGACCGCAAATATATTTAGCATCTGAATAAGATTGAGACACAGGTGTCAGCTAACATTGTCTTAGCGGACACCAGCATTGAAGTTTATTTGATTGCTCTCTCTTTATCATTTCCCTTCAGGTATTCATATTACAGGATATTCTGAGAATGCACTTTATGTTACTTTTAGAATAAGTCTTTAAAACAATGACTCAACCTGTCCTTCACCTGAGATATTTAAACAATTACAATAATGGCCAAGAAAGAATTAATTTAAAGTTTTTAATTATTGTATACTGAATAAGGTCACAGGCTCAGACTCTGAACTTAATTCCATCTAAAGTTTTTCATACCAGGTAAAGATTCAATATAAAAATCAATGTATGCTGATGGACATATGGGCTGACTCAGTGTGGCAGTAACAGGGACAAAGTCATGATGCTAACTTGGCACAAATCTGCTGGGAAAACAAACAAGTGAAGGCCAGCCAACTGAGAGTCCCTGACTCTTGACTTAAGAAAGTTATTGTTTCAGTCTTTGTCAAAAGCAGACATTATTTGCTCCAACAGAAGTAAATCCTTGCAATCCAGATACGCCTTGATCACTGCTTGTGAATGATTCCAGTCAGACACAAAGTAAGTCTTTGATTTAGCTGGATTTGTGACACACACAAGAATTTTTGAATATTTGGAACATTGTCTTCTTATAAGGGACGAATGTACTGCAGAGGTGATGAGGAGCTTAAGAGGCTCAACTAAAGACGAAGGAAGCGTGACCCAGAGATGTGCAACATGAACACTGTCTTCGATCCTTTATGCTCTCTCAAGCATCAGTCTCTCTCGGGATTTGCTGATTTAAAGATGGGCTGTTGATGCTGAGAGCAGTGGGAAAAAACGAGGGTATGTATGGCATGACATTCATCAGAGGGCTGGATAGTGGGCTCTCATTTAGGGGACTCATTGGGATGATGACATCATCCTGATCCCACACATGGAAGGCATTTGGGTGGGAGTGGGTGAGGGCCGATGGCATGTGCAGTGGGCTGACTCCTTCCATTTCTCCCTCTTTTTTCATGTCCTCTTCAACTGGGCCCAGCAAGCAGTCTGAGGGCAGACAAGAGAGTAAGGGATAGAAAGCATGTATTTCTCTTAATGAGGCCCATAACAATGCAAACTGTCTTTTAAAATGTCCTCAACTTTTCTTTTATAATAAAGCAAGGCTGCTATTTCAGAAATCCCACTAATCAACTCTTCTTAATGATTGGTGCCCATTTGTCCATCTCCAGAGAAACTACAAATTTGAAAATGTTTTTCTGTTTTGTCACCTTGTCAGAATCATTAAATGATATTCCATGCAGTGACATAATATTTTCACTTCTTTAGCGTTTGATCCCAAAATCAATAAGCAGATTTAACACAGTTTTCAGATTTTGTTGGTATGACACAAAAACCCCAAATCAAACAAATGTGGTCAAAGAATACACTACATTACCCAAATCACTGTAATGCAGGTTTTCAACTACAATAACTTTTGTGCATTATTAAAACATGTTTAAATAAAACAGAGTTTTACTCAATCTGTTTGGAAGTAATCCTTGTGTTAAATATTTTTCAGTGCATTCAGAGAGGATTCACTATACACCACCGCTCAATAAGTCTTTTTGTTGCCCTCTCTAATTTAATTGTGTATCAACAAACCTGCACAATATTGTCAAACTTATATGATAGATGCACAAGTACATGACTGTTAAAGGGTTGCCAGGTTATCAAGGGTTATGATGTAAAGCCACTGCTTAGACAGTTTACAGCTACCTCTATTAGACTTGAGTACCTGTAATATCCAGCATGAGGTCTTTGATGAGGTGACCCACTATAGCATAAGCCACAGCAACCACCACAAGAGCCGCCATCACAAGGTAGAGAACAGATTTGGGTAGCTGGATAATGTCCCTAGCAGGAGGCCTGTACTCCTTGTAGAGTGGCTCCACATTATGAACCAAGTACTGGAAGGAAAGTCGTCCTTCATCCGTGATGTTAAAGTTCTCCATATTTCCACAGTCGGAGCCTCCGCTTCCCCCGATGAGTAGTAATTATTCCATGTTATTCAAAGTAAAAACATTCCTAATTTAATTGATCCAAATGCTGAGGTGTCGCTCCTTGTTTTGCAGAGAGGTGGAGTCACAGAGTACTATTTGAATTAAAAAAAGACATGTATTTTGTATTAATAAACTTACTTTAAATTAAACAGATGGTAGGTTGTAATACAAATGTATTGAAGCAGCATTTTAAATTTACACTTTTTATCATTCAAAAGGTGTAGTTACTTTTCTAACATGATAATAGGACAATGAATCATTTCACCCACCTTTATGCACCAAGTTTTTGCAAATTCCAGAATATGTACATTTGGATATAAGCCGTTCTCTTTGCCTAACATGCGTCTAACGAGTGGTTGAATTCCTTTAGGATCATGTTGTCATCATCTGTTCCTCTTCCACCAGACATCAGGACAACCTTTGAGTCAGACTCTGTGCCTGGCTCTGCTGTTTTATCTGCTGAGATAATCCAGGCTGTGGGCAGGGACAAACAGAAGCAGGAGAGAGGAAGGGAGGGATTACACCTCCAATCACAGCAACAATCAATCAATCCCTCATCCTCATCCCATCTCACACGGATTACTTAATCCACAGCAAACAATCTGAGTAAATGCTATAACCCCCCCCCTCTCATACCCACACACACACACACACTCACACACACACACACACACACACACACACACACACACACACACACACACACACACACACACGAAATTACAATTCACTAAAAACATTTTAAAATTTCTTGAGAAATATTATATCTCCTAGCCCTTCTGCATAAATCACTTTATCTTCCTTTAAACGTTTTTCCTTCATATTTAATTGGACACATGATGCGTTGCAGTTTTATTTCCTTTATTTTTATTCTAATTGGTTTATTATTGATTTGTTTGATTTAGCTGAAAAGAAGCAAAGTGCTGAAGTACTTAAAATTAAAAAAAAAATGTTTACTACCATTTTTCCCTGGAAATATAACTCCTCTAATTCAAAAATGTAGTTCAATTGAAAATAATATTTAAAAGAATTGATTATTATCTCCAAAAGGAATTAGCAATACTTTGATAGGAAAAGGAGTAAATTAGTGGAAGCTAGTGGTCTTACTTCTAGCTCACATTCACCAGGTGAGACTATCAATCCTGTCAACAATATACTCATACATGTTATATAAAGTCTCTGCAGGTCTGAGACGACAAAGAAATAACGTGTTAACCTTTAATATTTACAGTCTATGGTTTTAATGTTAATATGACGACGACAGTTTATTTTTTATCAACTATAAAAGAGTGTTAGCACCAGGTTAGCTCATAAGCTAACACACTGACGACAACGCTGTAATTTATGAAAGCTATCTAACATTTTCTGTAGGTATTTTTTTAAATTTGATTCTACATAGTTTCTTTTAACTACACAACTATATTCATTGTGTTTGAACATAGGGAGCTAAGTGTAATTTCACCTTTTGCAAACAATGTTAACCATGGTTGTAGCTTTTAGCCATCAATTCAGATTGTTGGGGGTTTTATGCATTGTAGCGGTTCATTAGATTTGTAAATATTCACTCCTCAGATTACTGAAGTCTGTGTGTTTTAATCAGTTTTGTCTTTTTTGAAGGTTAATTCATATTTCTGTGTGCCAGAGGAGACTGTTCCGGATGGATTATTTCTTTGACCTGACCTCTGAGTCCAGTCCGAGGGACGACCATGAAGATCCACACATGGTAAACTCTCATCACATCATTTACTCCCACAACATTGAAAACAAAGTATATTTCTGACGAGAAACACAAAGAAGACAGTGTGACATGTTTTCTAGTAACCAGATGTCGCAGCATTCATGTGAAAACCGTCTTTGATGGTAGGCCTGTCGTAACCTAGCAACCAAACTAAGCAATGTAGGCTACAGCAAGAAGGGCATCTTAAGAGTGCTGCACACCCTCCTCTAAAATGAATACACTTAATCAACTGCATTTACAATAGATACAGGGTTAGGTGTCTGAAAACGGAATAAAAACACATAGACTTTCATAACTTCCATTGGCATCTTAGACATTAAATATGGGAAATGTAGTATCATCATCTAAGAAATCGTTTTTGCAACAGTTCACCCTTACTGTCGTTCATTGCAGTCTTGGTGACAATGAAAAACTTCATGAATGTTATTTTCATTGTGTTTTCCAAACAGATAGAAGATTCTTGTGATCTGCAGAGAGAGAAATCCTCAATTGTGGGCATCACTGAGATTCAAGAGCAGAACACCAGGTATCCTCATAAACCAGTCAACACACTGTAGATGTAATTATGACTGTTTCTGACCGTACTATCCATTTAGGCTGAAACAATGTTCAGTAAGTCAATATATTTTGTAGCTCAAGAATAGATGACATCAGCAGAAGAGTTCAGGAACTAGTGCAAAAGGTAAATGACAGCCGCACCAGTGACCAGAAAGTGATGGACAGCTTTAAGGAGAAATTAGTGGAAAAGGTATAAGAACTTCTTCACACGTCTGGTCCACTTCTCTTTTAGTGCAAATTAGTTATGTATTCCTTTCATGTTTTAAATCAATGAACTCATTTCCTGAGCCCTGATTTTCTGTGTATTTTGTGCTGTCCCTGTAATAATAAACATTTATACCTTGTCCATTCACATTTTAACCCCTAGCTGACAGAGATGTTCCAGCAGATGAAGGAGCACATGTACACAGTCTATGAAGAGAACAGTAATGTGATGCAGGTAAAGCTGCAGGAGTTGTCAGAGGTGCTGGAGAGCTGCACTAAACTCAAAAAGGAGCTGATTGAAGCCAGCCAGGGACTGGCAAGTCTCAGAGAGGGACTAGCCATTAGCCAGACACCAGAAACCTGAGTAAATAATTGTGTTCTTACCGCTGTATCATTCTGAATCAGTTGAAGTGCTTGCTAATTGTTATTTATAAACTGCATTTAGAGAAGAAGACGACTTTCTGATAACTCATTTTGTTTTTCTCTTGTTTTTTCAAGAATGTACAAAGTTGACAGTGTCATATTTTGAGGACAATAGTTCAAGTTACAGCTAATTAATTAATGTATATGATCATACATTTTCCACAAGTACACCTTGATAAAATAAAAACAGCAGCAAGATTATTATATAATATTACACATTGTTTGTGCATTAAATCTTAATTCTCAATGTATTGTATTTCTTCAGACCAGCAGGAAGGATATGATAACATTGTAAAATTGTAACCATTAAATCTGACACAGAATCTCAGCTTCATTTCCCATGGATTCATATTCATTTATTTACACATTTAATTATACTAGAAATATTGTCTCATTATGCAGCTTGTACATGCACCTGACTAATAAGTACCTGACCTTTATTTCACACATCTAAACTGTACAAATATCCTCACAGATGGACCCATTGCTTCTACCAAACAGAGGCAGTAATAGAGGGGTCCCATTAGTTGGGGGGGGGGGGGGAGTATAGAGGTATATATGATTCATCCCGCTTGGCAAAGAGTTTCTCAGAGGGCAGATTTACAGGTAGCACGACAAAATCGATATAAAGTCCATCTGAAGAATTTGTTGAGAGAATCTTTTACTTTTCAACAGTAAAAGACTGCAGTCCTGTGATGGCTCTGCCCAGGATCAGGGCATGGATATCATGTGTTCCTGAAAAACAATGAAAGAAATGTTTAAACCAATTGTGTTCCGATCAAGAGTCATATGATTTGTCAGAAAATAAAATCTGCATTATTCTAAAACAAAGGTGGTATTTATCAATCCTAAAATAGTTCAACTTCCTTTTGCAGTTTTTATTTTTTACTGGCAACATAAAACCTAAAAGTTCATATAGATTAACTCAAACCATAGACTTTGCATAATTAAAAATCAAAGGTGAGTTCCTTTGTCATAATTGTCAATGTGTAAAAATGTGTGCACTGCTGACCTCCTGTGGTGAGTGCACATAGTTGCAGCTAAAGTTTCAAATCATTGCTCCAACACGGCTCTCTGTTTGGTACTTTAAAAAAAATAAAATAAAAATACGACATATTAAGACAAGGTGTATCCACTGGTGTGTGCCTACCCTCGTATGTGTTGACGGCCTCCAGGTTCATGACGTGACGGATAATGTGGTACTCATCTGCGATGCCGTTTCCTCCCAGCATATCCCTCGCTTGTCTGGCAATATCCAGAGCTTTGCCACAGCTATTCCTCTTTAGCATGGAGATCATCTCTGGTGCTGCTCTATAAACAGAAGATTTCACACATTACATTCAAAATCTTTAAACCTTGTTGTAAAAGAAAGGATGTGTGGTCAACAGAGGCCAAAGGTTAAAGGCCTTTAAAAAGATAATAAAGACTCACTTCTTCTCATCTATAAGTCTTCCCAGGGCCAGACTTGACTGAAGCCCAAGGGTGATCTCTGTCAGCATGTCGGCCATTTTCTTCTGCATCAGCTGGTTCCTGGCCAGTGGCACCCCAAACTGGATTCTGATCACACGATAGAAAGAAATGAAATACAATCCACATAAGAAGGGCTGAAGGTGGCATGACACAAGGACAAAATCTTTAGATGTGTTGTGTAGCAATGCTTTTTCTTACTTTTTTGAAAAATGCCTGAAAGGTCTGTAAAGCTGTGTGACCTTGACAATAGTTACAATAGTTGTTTCCTAACGTTTTTTTCTGGGTTGGCAAATGAAGATATTTTGGAACCCTCCACCCCTCACCATACACATCAACACTAAACACACTGTGTTCATGTTCTTTGCAAACAAATGGCTATAGTTCATAGAATAGCAACTTCAGTGTATGACAACTTACTGATAAAAAAAAAAAGAAGCCACTTTTAAAGAGGAAGTGATTAAAAGTGATACTGCAAAATGAAACTTCCAAATGAGTGACGCCTGGTGTACATTTATTGTCAGCATTATGTTTACCCGCACTTCCTTTAATAAACTATGTCATGCTTTGCTAGCAGTGCAAAACGGTCTGCATTGTTTTTATTTAGCCTTTCCCCTACAGCTCAGAAAATAATCGAGTTTCCATTGCAATTACCATTTTGGCTTCTCAGGATCATGAAAACAAGATAATTGAGATGAAGTGATTAATGTGCTGCATGCTGAGTTGTGCTCGTTTTGTCCATAGGTTTTTTTCATGTTTGTTGTTCTAATTTTCAAGTGTTTGTTGTTCTAATTTGGCCATAATAGTACATCCCCACTACCTGTTATGTTAATATCAATCAAAACAAATCAGTCACTTTGGGAATCAAAGGAACTGTAATGTAATGTACCTGTCCAGAGTGTACTGTCGGGCAGCATGGAAGCAGAATTCAGCAGCTCCCAGAGCTCCCCATGCAATACCATAGCGGGCATTGTTCAGACAGCCAAAGGGACCCTGTTCACAGTGGTCGACAGGAAAAAGAAAAAGTAATACAACGCAATGAGTAACAATAATGTAGTGATATTAAAGTGAGTTATATACGGTTTTGTTGGATTTGAACCTTATGTCATATAAGAGGCCTCAAACTGCACTTACAGCTAAACCAGAGACGTTGGGCAGTAGGTTCTCCTGGGGAACTTCCACTTCATCCATCACGATCATTCCGGTAGCTGACGCTCTCAGCGAGAACTTGCCCTCGATCTTGGGGGTGGAAAAACCCTTCATTCCACGCTCCAAGATGAAACCCCGCACTCTGCCATCTTCACACTTTGCCCACACCACGGCAATGTCTGCAACGGGGGAATTTGTGATCCTGTCAGAGGAAAGGGGCGGGTGTTAATGATTTCCATCTTTAAATGAATAGTTGGACATCCAAGTGGTTCCCTGGTCATTTTAGAATTAACCCAAAGATTGTACTGTTTGCTTTTAAATCTTTAAATGGGTTAGCACCACTGTACATTTCTAACCTCTTGCAAGTCTATATACCCCTTGAGGTCTTTCATGTCTGTTGATTAGCTTCTTGTCCCTTGAAAACCGAGGGTTCTTCTCGGGAGTGGCCCCAACATTTTGAAACAAGCAGACTACCGAAGTAAGAATGTCCCCCACCTGTAGACTGTAACCTTACAAATCTGTAACTCGTGCCTCAAAACTCATTTTTATTCTTTGGATATTGACTTAGTCTGAGAGTGTTTGTCTTTTTATTCTTTTAGGTACTGTATCTTTAGTTGTTTCACATGCGTTTGAACTGACCTAAATGTCAAGTCTTTTTCTACCCTACCTCCCAAGAAGGTAGCATGCTTTGTCAACTCCTCTGAAGTTAACAACAAAATCTATCTGGGTTTTTTGTACATACAGTAACACTTCTTTTCATAATTCCCAAAATACCAGATGCCCATCTGCAGACTCTTTGATCTGAGTCCATGGTTGGATAAAGCAGACAGAGGCATAGATATTTTACCCCACCTTATCATCAAAAACTATTTAAAACACTGGGACGGAATAAATTTTCCCTCAGTTTAATCTTATCATCCCTGCCAGCCACCCTGGTGGGATCTTATATTTTATACTTGTTGTGCATGGTGTGTGTATCATCCTGTACTCAGCTCACAGCTGGACCAATCACCATAATAAGAAATGCCTGTAAAAATCTAATCTATCAACTGTGACTGACTATCATACTATCACTATCATCCTGTCCAGTCTGAAAGTGCAACTCTAAAAAGAGTTAAGAAGTCAACGAGATGGCAATGTCTCCAATCAGCAGCTGCAGAAAAACAATCTGTTTGATTATCTCTGCTAGGCTTTAATCCTAAAAGAGCCTGAGCATCGGGAGAGAAAAGCCAGAGGAAGAGGAGTGAAATCACGCCATGGATGAAACCTCAGACTTCTTATGTTCAACTTCCTGCAAATTGTAACATGGATATTTGTCCCATTTTATTGATCTGATGTTTTAAGCCTTAAGAATTTAGGGAACAGCCCCTTAACTCTTATTGACTCTATCTATCCTAGAATACATTATCTATCCTTTACATTTTTATTCTAGTATTAAAGGCCTTTCACAGTGTTACGTATAAGTTCAACAGTATACAGGAAATGTAATATCACTTAAACATTTAATTAGGGAGGGTTAGTTACCAGATTCGTTTTTTATATTTAAGATAGTGAACTCTATTTACTACTAGCGAAATTATGTAACCAATATTTTTCTTAACATTGAAGCCTGTATGCTAAAGGATCTTTCATGGTGTTCAAGGCTTACGATCCTGTTGATTATCTTTACACAGTCTCTGATCCATTTCAGTGTGACACCAAGGGAAATGAAACATCTCAGTCTATGTTATCTTCACTGTTGACATGACTGCATGAGTGCAGGGAGGGTCAATCATGTGAAATTCTGTGTTTTTTGTGTTGTTTTTGAGGATGGGGGGAGGTAAGGAGGGTGTAGCTTACCAAGTTTTGGCTCCACTGATGCTGAAGGTGCCACTGGACGGGTTGTATTTGGCCTTGGTCTCCATACCGCTGGGGTCACTGCCGTGGTTCGGCTCTGTTAAGCCAAAACAGCCCAGGATTTCTCCACGAGCTGCATGAAAAATGAAAAAAAAAAAAAAAATTTAAGGACAATCTTGAGACTGCCCTTTGTCATTTTAAGAATTCATAAACCACTGCAGAAAATGCCATTCTCACCTAGTCGGGGCAGGTACTTCTCCTTTTGGGCATCCGTGCCATAAGCATTGATCGGGTGCATGACCAATGAAGACTGGACACTCATGACGGACCGATAGCCACTGTCCACTCTCTCAACCTCTCTTGCAATTAAACCATATGCCACGTAACTGGTGCCAGCACAGCCATAGCCTGCACGGTAAATACAAGTGTCACATTCTACATGTAAACATTGGTGATGTTTTGAAGAGGCTTAAAAGGAAATAAATACATTCAAAACACTTGGACGTCACATAAAATTCAAAGTCATTGTTCTCTAAAGAAAGGTCTATGGTTCTCCATCCTAATAATATAATTGTTCATCTGTCTTAAATTGTAAAAATGTAAGACAGATTAAGATGTATAATGTACTTTAGTTTTGTTCCTGCTTACCTTTAATAGTTGGGCCTAAGACGCCCAGCTCTCCCATCTCTGAAACAATCTCACGATGGAAGTCTGTAGACAAATGTGAGCATGTTGGGAAAAGAGAAACTAATTGTAAAACGCAAAAGTATACACCTTTTACACACAAATCATTTTCTTACAGTTTGAGCTGAGGAAATGAGTTTAGTAGCCATAACCTAAACCTGGATTATCATCCATGTTTTGGTGACAATTTCCCCCCCATTAACTCCACTTAAAGATCCTATGAGTTTAATAGAATAGATCTAAATAGTCTAACTCAGACATTATTCCATATGCTCCGATAATGGGTGTTTGCTTACGCTCATTTCTGTTAGCCATGAGAATGCGGGGCATGAGTTTGTCCTGGCAGTAGTCACGGAAGGAATCTCGGATCATGATCTCCTCCTCTGTCAGCTGACCCTCCAGACTCAGAGCGTCCCGCCAGTCAAATGACACCTTGGCTGAGGGTGAAAACGTGTATACACACACACACACACACACACAGTGGTTATGTCACTGTTGCATGTGGTATACAGAACATGTGAAGGTATCCAAACAGACAAGGTTGAACTCGTTGAAGTTTCACTTACGTGCCTTTGCTGGCTTTTTGGTTTCTTCAGCATCTAAAGTAAGGGGGGAAAAGTATATGACATATTGAATGGATTACTCATCTGCATACAAAAGATAAACAACTTGTGTAGTTCATCTGCAAACCATTTCTTTATTAACACAAATGAAGACATATTTTTCTACTTCAATAGAGTTCTTTGTCTCCCAAATGGCTATCATTCTAAACTTCATCTTACTTTTTTTTTTTTTTTTGGGTGAATCGAGAGAGTTGATCAAAGAATTCAAAATGTACCTTGTGGAGCTGCAGCAGTTGTGCCCTGGGCTCTGGACGCAGTGACAGCAGCACATCTGTGGCTGCTCGATAGCAGACGAGTGACAGCACCTCTGAGAGCCATGTCTTAACTAAGCATAGAAGGAAGGAGAGACAACATTTTAAAAGTTGTTATATTTAAAATGTCTATAAACACAATGCCATTCTGATGTTCTGCACGACATCAAACACTGTTGTGTAACAACCACATTGTGTAACAACAATGTGGGGGGAGTTAGGCTACCTGTCCAATTTAAATTAGGCACGTTTAAAAAATATATAAAGCACAGGGTAATTCCTTCTTTCCTTTGTTAAGTGCTTTTCCGCACCCTTATCCACACATGTTTACATTGTATTATTATCATAACCTCATTCAAGGAAGAAAAAAAGAAATAGGCTATGGGAATTTTTTTTTTTTTTTTTGCACAAGCTTAAGAAACAAGTTTTAAACTTTTTCCCCCACGGATCAGTGCACTGAAAAGAATATTAAACTGATTTTGTTTTCATAAACTTTCAAGAGAATTGTTCAATCGCCCTGTATCAAATGCACCATGCAACAGTTCCAACATCAACACTTTTTTTTTTTTTATATATATATATATACAATTGTGATCCAAAGATCCACCTGAACATTACCTGTGTTTCTTCGCTGGGCTGATCTTCGTATCCGAGGATTTTTCCAAAGTACTTCGGGTGAGAAAGGTTGCTTAAATAATATTTCACCCGGCGTCACGTCACAGAGCTACATAACGTATCACGTGGGAGCTCCTGTCCTCCATGAAGGATGAGGCAAACCCATGGGCAAAACACACAGGAATCCATAGCAGGAGACATGTGTGGGCAATGTATGGGAGTTACGCAACTAGCGGAGGACTGCCTTTGGCGAAAGAAATAATACATTTATTAAACATGCTCGGGGGGGCTTGTCTAGTTGGATTGTATCAGGCCGTTTTCTGTACCATGCAATGCACACTTTTTATTTTAGTTTTAGTCGGTGAGGGATCGAAATCGTCATTCGAAATCAGATTTCCACACTCAAAATGGCGTTTCAAGAATACTTGATCAATGCAAAGTGAGGAGGGTGTCGGCCCACGCCCTTTTAGCTCATTGGCTGGTAAATGAAGCAGCCGTGTAGAGGGAGGGTCAAGTCTACTCTGCATGTGAGTGAGTACCAAACTTTAGAAAGTGTGGCTCAGCTGAACATGAAGTTCATTTGCCCACTTAAAGGACTCCTCGTGTTTTTTTTTTAACAGTGTAGCCTACAATGGAACCGTGGGCTTCACCCTTGAAGATTAAACAAATATATTTGGCTAAGCTGTAAAAATAACCCCAATGATTTTATCATATGAATGTGTCCAAACGCTTTATATTCTTATTTTACTTTAATTTGTTATTTTAGGCGTGTTGAAATTATTTGATGAGTTTCTTTAGAAACCTGATAGACCTAACTTGTTATACCACTTTTTGATTATTTAATGATTATCACAATGTGTGTGTGTGTGTGTGTGTGTGTGTGTGTGTGTGTGTGTGTGTGTGTGTGTGTCCATCACCCAAAGTCATACTGTGCATGTCTTCTATGAATACTTGCCTTGTAACAAAAGGCTTTTCTATTGTTTTCTCTCAGTCAGAGTATCCTACTGCACAATCTTTAAGTGTCTCCTATGTCATTTTTTTCATCAGTGTTAGAAACTCTGTTTTAGTAGTATTAAGGACGTGCTCATATCCATATATAAAATGTTAAATATATAATTTACAATTATTCAAATTATATTTAGGCCTATGTATGACAAGGAAAAGTATTGCGATATAATATTTTGAAAGCAGAATGTCCAGTATCTTATCAAGACCTGCAGTCACATATTGTTATTACTTGTTTACTTGTAATCATTGATTGTGTTTTGGTCAATGACTCATCCATCAACACAAATTACACTTCTCATGAGATTAGTTTGAAAAGATAGAAAAGATCATAAACAGCAATTTTCACTTCAGCTGTGTAATACACTCTACACTATGATCTAATATCATTCAACAACTTCCCTGAGAGTGCATCATTTCTTAGTGGTGGTTTTGCACTGGGGTTCCTTTATAATTTTTTTTTTGTTATTGCACCTCAAATAAAGTATAAGACAAAGTATTATGGAACCCCTCTCAATATAATTCAGTCCAGTTAAGAAACAGAAGACCTGATGGCCAGAGGGCGTGTCATGCTATCCAGATTTTTTAATCGGCATGGATTTCCAAAAATATATTTCTCTTTTGTTTTGCTTTCTAACATTACTTTTTGCAGTATGTTCCAATGATCACATACAAGTCCAGCACAGTCTTCATATATAATTTACAACACTTAATATTACTAATACAACTTGCTCCAACTGATACCAGAACTTCTACTAATAATTATAATAATGTACTATTAATAATGATAATAATAATATCATACATAGTCTAGTAGTTTATGTCTACATTTGACAAATAGGCCTATAATTAGTAGCCTACTAAGAGGCTGTAGGCTAAGTTTTCCCATTGGTTACCCATTGATTAGTAAGGGAACAGAATAAAGTGATCTAATTCCTCATCATCATCCTCATCATCTTTATTGACAGACTCAGAGTCCATTAGAAAACAGATACAAACAATTAAGATATAAACCAGATGTAAAAGCAAAGAAGGTAACGACAAAAAACAAGCAAACAAACAAAGAATATTATAAAAGACAGCTGTAAGAGTGTCTTCACAGGGATGAATGGTATCGAATAGAAAAATGAAAACTGTAGGTCATATCATGAGGTAAAGAACAATGTTTTCACTATTAAAGTTAGGCTAGAAATAAGAAAAGGCATTTTAAAAAACCTATTTACTCAAAATGTTATTATTTGAGTAAATATCGAGCCTCTATTTATAGGGTGTGCTTTCACTTCACGCTAAAACTTAAAGTAAAAGAAACATTGAGCCCGTACTTTATAAATATAACCAACATTAAATTCATTACTTCACATTACTTCACATTCCGTAGAAGTAACGGCGAGCCAAACGTTTTTGTCCAGCCACACTCTGATTGGCTGTCGTAGCTGTCAGTCACCCGGCGTCCTTCAGTCATTGGTCAGTTCTCTGGTAGACTGGAATGTGCTGTGCTATACTTTGGCTTGTATCCATATGGCTCCTCTCTCTCTCTCTCTCTCTCTCTCTCTCTCTCCCTCTCCCTCTCTCTCTCCTGTGGAGCCTTTCAGTCCGTCAGTGTTATTGATGTTTTTTCCTCGACATTTCCATGGTAACTGTCCTGTCTAAAGTCTGATTAGCAAGCAAGGAGCCGAGCAGAGTGTGAGAATGGAGCTGGAGGAGAAAACCCCGGACCCTAAATACGGTAAGAACAAGGTTTATGTTGACTAATTTATCTTCTTTCTTTCATTTTCTGTAACGGGTCGAAGAAATGGAAACAATGACTGCAAGGGGATGGATGGGTGTGGACCTCATGGGTCTAACGCAGATCTGGAGTCAGATTCATCCTCTATGGACGCGTTTTTCTCACTTATCATGCTAAAACGCCAGAAGAGAAGTGTTTACATTTTACAATTGACAATGAACGAGTGTATCATGTTGTGAATGGGTGGCAGTATTTGGCTTATTTGTGTTATTCTCACAGACTATTAAAACCAAACCTAGCTTCAAATGACACAGATTAATCCATTTTTTAAATCTTAATCTGTCTTCCTTTTTCTCAATAAAGTAAAATGTTGCAGATAAAATAAGACATTCAGAAGACTTCTGTCTTGACAGGATCTATTAGATTTATATGCAGACAGGGTAGAAACACATTAAATGAGTTTAGGCCAAAGTGCATCTACCTTGGAATTTCAAAAAATGCCATTTGAATATCAACGTATCAATATTGACCGGGGGGAGGGGGGCTGGGGGGGGGGGGGGGATAAGACACGCCCATTCGCTCCTTCGTGTCGTTAGTTACACACAGCCGCAACATCGTGATTAGCAAATTTAGCTAGTTCATTAAGTCGTGGGCAATGACTCCTTCATGGTTAGTTTTAAGTAAAACGCTAGTACCATAGACTGTCACCACATACGTCACCAAACATCCCGTCAGCCAATAGAACAATTACATTGCAATAACCCTAAACCTGCAGAGGGCAGACCTTATGAATATTTCTAACAATATGTAGAATCGCAATACTTTGTACTCAAATGTCAAGATATGGATGCGAATTGATCAACAACAATATTGAATACCCATATAGGTAGATGAACAGGTGAGAAAAGTGGTCTGGAGACAGGAGAATGTCTATCTGGTTTATTTAGTTTCCCAAATGGGCTCAATAAACATCTGTTGTTTTGTATGTTGTCGTAGGTAATTTCATCCACAAATACTCACACAAACATACAAAGACCATAACTTCAGATGCTTTTTGTGATCACAGACTCTGACATATGGAATATTCATGATCATAGCCAAAGGAGTGACTCACTGCTGATTATTATATGTGTCACACGTGATTTTTGGCTGGGTTGTTGCTCATGTGTTGAGTCATGAAGTTTCCAAAGCGTGTGTTACGTTCGCTTTAATACTTTAAGTCAGTAATGTTACATTAGAGGTTAACCATAGGTTTCTTAAATCAAACCACATTCCTCATGGGACGTCTGGAAAGACAGCAATAATCTGTCTGATTGTTGAGTTGGAATGTCTTTCACAATGTAAGATGTTCCCAGTTGCCAACACCCACTGTGCAATGCACATCCTCTTCAAGTCACTCGATGGAGCTCCCACTGTGGAGTATTTCCTTGATGCTTTCCTGTCACCATAAAAACAGCTCCATTCTCTCAGCTCTCCTCCCCCATGAAGGCCAAAAGGTCAAAAACCACAACTCCTTTAAAGCCGACAAAGGCAATACAAAGACTCAACACACATTTCAGCTTACCAGTATTTTTAAATAACTTTTTTATATGCCGAGTTTGACCTGTGAGCAATCCCATTTTGTCTACCATTGTTACTTCTACACTGTCTTGTGTCTAGGCTGCTGTGCAGGCAGGCAGGCTGCAGCCTGCACAGCCTGGCTTGTGTTCAGCCTCACTTGCTCTACCCACTCAGCAGACAAAGTCGTGAGGCTTCCTGTCAATATCAAGCTGGCAAACACTCAGAAGCATTACCACACACACATATGAGGACAGCACACTTGAGCAATACATTTCAGAATGAGCTCTTGTCATATGGACTTTGACTGGCATTTTGGGAAAATTAGACAGCACTGCTGTCTGATCCAAGCAGTGGTGGAAAAGTGAGAGACTGATCTTAACCAATAGTTATCGGTTTTATAAGTGTCAGCAAACAGCGACTTTGATAATTTCCTCCTTTCTTTGAAATTGTATGGTTGTCAGCTTTGTTATTTGCTGTCAAACAGATTTTAAGAAAATTGGCTAACTAAATAAGTAACAGCTGCTATACGGCAGGACTTAATGGGATTCTATCAAGTCACATATGAAGCATCTATTTTTATATGCCCTATATAGAAAGAAAAAAACATGGGAGGGATAGAAACAAGGAAGACAGAATGTACTCAGTTTATGTGCATGTTTGCATGTACAGTGCATGTGTACACTCAAACATGCACACACACACACACAAAGCCACATTACCCACTAAACCATTAAGGTAGCCATGAAAGGGTTCATCTGATAACCCCTCTGGGCCCATTAGTGAATCATATCATGACATCATTACTTCCTGCTATAATATCAGAAGTTACCGTATTACTCC